CCCAATATCCTCTTGTAAAACTTGTACTTGATGAATGTATCAGTCTGGTTTCATTAGTATGGCATTAATTGAACCATTTCTTCATCCCCAAAACATTAAACTTATGTTTGTTTACCCTTAACCGGCTGCCCCTATGTTCTGCCCTTTTGAGGACCATGATCTACTGTTTATTCAAATTTCCCTTTAAGACTATTGCACGAGGCACTTAATTGCTATGACTACTTTGCTCATGAATTTTCAATTATTTGTAGACTCGGTTGCTATAGTATCAGCTGAATGGTTACTTGCAACCCCAAAATGAATTTAAAATCCGTGGAGCTAGAGATAGAAGAATTTGAGAAAATGACTAACAATGCTGCCATTGTTCAAAAAGAAACACTCCAAAAGATTCTTGAACAAAATGGCCAAGCAGAATACTTACAGGCTTCAGGCCTCAGAAGGAGAACTGATCCTGAAAGCTTTAAAGACTGTATTCCTCTTGTCACTCATGAGGACCTGGAACCTTATTTACAGAGAATCATGGATGGTGATGATTCACCAATTCTAACAGGGAGGCCAGTTACAACATTGTCGTTGAGGTACTAAAATTTCTCTTCATTGTTTTTTTATTAAAACTAACTTTTATTCTCCTCTCATAAGTTTTGAAAGCTTGTATATTTGTTGTAGTTCTGGTACGATGCATGAAAAATCGAAGCTTATTCCCTTCAACGAGGAAATGTCGTGATCTACGATGCAGATTTATCACACGTCATTTGCTTTTATAAATATGTAAGTTTATTTTTGTTCATTATAGGTAAATTTATTATGAAATTCATTTTTGAGGAAAAAAATATATTATGAAATTAATGTTCCCATGAGAAAAAATTATACTACAACATCTTTAAGCATGCTCATTTAAATCTCTTGGCTTGATATTCATTATGAAGCATATGCCATTACCTACCAACTTAAACTTTCAGATAAATCATGTATGTTAATATATTTCTGATGAACTCAACTAAGACCAATTTCACAGAGAATACCCCGTGAATGATGGAAAATCTCTCCAATTCATATACGCAAGCAAACAATCCCTAACTAAAGGGGGTCTAATTGCAACAGCAAGCACAACTAACGTATATTGAAGCCAACAGTTCAAGAACACAATGCAGGACATCCATTCTCAATGCTGTAGCCCAGACGAAGTCAGTTTCTGCATAGACTACAACCAGTCAGTGTACTGTCATCTCTTGTGCAGGTTAATTTACTCCCAAGAGGTGCAGATAATTTCTTCTGCATTTGCCTTCAGCATTGTTCATGCATTGAGAACATTTGAACAGGTTCGGGGAGAACTCTATGCTGATATAAGAGAAGGGATTCTCTCAAATAAAATTACAATTCCTTCACTCAGAGAAGTTCTTTCCAAGATTTTGACTCCTAATCGAAATTTGGCTGATACAATATATAGGAAATGCATGAGTTTAAGCAATTGGTGCAATATGATTCCAGAGCTCTGGCCTAATGCGAAGTATGTGTATGGAATTATGACGGGATCAATGGATCCTTACGCAAGGAAATTGCAACGTTATGCTGGAAGTCTGCCAGTGCTGAGTGCTTATTATGGGGCTTCGGAAGGATGGATTTGTGCTAATGTGAATCCAAGATCAAAACTAGAGTCTGTGACCTATGCAGTTTTTCCTAATATCAGTTATTTTGAATTCCTTCCTCTTAAGGAGAATCACAATGAGCAAGAATTGGATAATGTCGACTCTAAATTTTGAAGAGAATGCTAAAATTTTAGGAGATAATAAAAGGTAAGGGGGAATTCAGAATCGGAAAATTCCTGTTTAAATTGAAGAAAGCGCCTAAGGAGGAGAAAGTTAAGGGAGAATGGTAAAGTCAAGCATCAGCTTGGGTGGAATTGAATCATGTCGTGTACATAGCTGCATGTACTGACATCTTTGTGGCTGCACATACTGATTTTATGTGGTAGATTGCGCGCACACTATTTAGCTTAGTATATCTCATTTTAAACACTAATGAATAGTTGTTAAACAATACATTGTATAGCTGGCTTAATGCAATTTAATTTTGTAGGCTACTATAATTGTAGCCACTATTGACCCCGTTTTTCTGGGAAAAGCCTTGTTATGATGATTAACATATGATGTTAATTGCAATTCCATAAAATTCATCACGGTTGAATTTAGTCTCTCATTGTTATGTTTCTTAATGCTTGTTATTGGCTTTTTTTTGTTATTGAGTTGACTCATTCGTCTGTTCAAGCTCGATGCACTTGTTTAACCTATTTATGATGAATGTCATGGATTTTGCATTTACTTGAACGAACTTTCTGATCATACTTTATTAAATTATTTTTTTCTTTCTTTAATAGGAGGTGGTATCCCAAAATCGAAACGGGCTGTTGAATTAAGTAGTTTATTGGGAGTTCAAATTTCACCTATACAGGTTTACACCATGAACCTCTTTCTTGTATGAGCATATATAATTAAATTCTTTTCATGCACAAACTGTTACATATATTCATTCGGCCGTATGAAAATCAGTGTCAATTTGTTCCAGAAACTGTAGGTTTTGTATGTGTAGATCAGCAATTTGGAGCCTCTTATGAGTAAATGTTCAAGCATATTTCATTTAGGCTATCAAGCTTGTTTAAGTGATGATTAGTGAGTCGATCCAAATTCCTTAGCCATTGTTAACATCCCATATCCATCTATCTGAGATGTTTTTATCATTAAAAATAAATGAAGCTTATGAAATGCATGAAGCATATAGTTTGGTGTGGATGTATCATTATATCAGGCCATCGATTAAGGTCCATGACAGACTTCTTAATACATTAACAAGGTCAGTGGATAAGCTCTTTTATATCCCTCCTCCCTACATAATTATTTTTCCATTTATGTGAACTTTTTTCTGCCGACATATGATATAGGTTGTCCATGGGCCTTCACCTTTCAAAGGATTGACAAACAGGTACGGACAAGTTCTCAATGAGACCATTCTTTTATCCGAGTCTTATGTCTTACTGTGATAGACTTATTCGTATTTCTCTTTGGGTCTTTGGACATTTGGACCATCCTTATTTCGCATGAAGATAGGATTTACCTTTTTTGGGGTTAAATTTCAAGTACTATATTATGCTTCATATTTCTTTAGTTATAATGATTCTTTTCATCCTCCAATCTGTAGATTTGAAAATGAGCTTGTTATTGCCATTGAGAAAGGAGAACCTGCTGCGGTAATGTCGGAGTATGGCTTCAAGTGAGTTTTAAAATTGGTGAAGTGTTACTTATTTAAGAGCTCAAATATATAAGTAGAAAACTGTAGCATGCATAATATTTCTTGATGTTTGTTTTCTGTCTGCAGAAAAGTTCTTTCCATAGATGAATACGCATCATATTTGGAAGACATTGATCCCTTGTCGCAATTTACATGCTGGGTTACTAGGCAAGCTAATGAGAAGAACACATCCAGGGAATCACATTTGAGATACAATGTTTACTCTGGAAGAGTAAAAGGAGCATTTGTTGTTAGTGACCATGTTGACTGGGGAAGAGACATCTAGGTATCACCATTTATAACCAAAAACCTACATCTTTTAGGTATATAATATTGATATACGACCTGTTTTCTCTTTCTGCTTCTTTTTCTTTCTAGAGTTAACAAATATGAGAGGATGCCCTGGTTTTATAAAAAGGAAGTTGTCATCATGGTTGATGAGTTATGCTTCATGAGACTGCAAAGTTAACAGCCTCATAATCATCTGAATTTGATGGTTGGTTTAATATCTGAACAAGGACGGTAATAATCACATGTCGATGGTTGGTTCAACATCGAAACAAGGACGCAGACTCTCCAGTTGCTTAATAAAAGGCTAGCAAACAATGTTAGTCAAGATGGATGGCCATAGAACCCGACGAGGATGAAGTCCATAGTAGTATTATGGGTCCCTTGGTAGGTTAATAGTCCATGTAGCAAATGGTGTTAAAGATCCAACAGGAGATGATTAAATGGGAAAGATATTTTTTTACATCTTTCCTTGTACATATTATGCGAGGCACAAGAACCTTCAGTTGGAAAACAAACTACACAAAGACATCTTATCTTAACCCTTCTTGTAGATATTCTTGTTATGAGCAAAGTTTTCATTAGGGATAAGCCTGACAAATGAGTTCGCGTAGTTTATCATGATCAAGAGTTCTGTAAGTGAAGAGTTTTTTTGTGGTGTTTGATATAAAATCACCAAGGTACCAAATGTTTTTTTTCCTTTGCCTTGTGTGGCAGTGGTCATGAGCACATATCATGTTCAGATTAGACTCCTCAGACCAATCCTGAGTTTTTTGGGAAGTTTGGAAAGTCTTCATGTAATCCGTGGCTTTACACTTGAGAAAAAGTTTTATCAGGGTGCTCTTTGTTCGGTGTCTAATATCATTTGCATATAGAGCACAAATATAAAGGGTTAATTGTGAACCTAACCCTTTTAGTATCACTCAATTGTAAAGAGACCCCTTGTAGTTCTGTATATTGCAAACAGACACCTTGTAGTTCTACTTGATGCAAATAGACCCCTTAGTGAAATTCTTTTTACTCTTCAAATCGCTAAGAATGTTTGAGGAGGTGGATAGATCTCCTAATTTTTTTTCACTTTTAAAAGAATCGAAAAAAGTCACTAAGGGGTGTATAGCACTTGTGCCAATACTACAAGGTGTCTATTCACAACAAGTAGAATATACCAAATCTTTAGATTTTGTTCATATGTTTGCTCTATTGTTTACATTCAATAAATTTATACTAAGTAAAATTAAAATTTAAAATAATATTAAAAAAATTTATCACGTGCATTGCACGTGCAATCCAACTAGTACACAAAAATGAACGCACCCTTTGCTATTCGGGCCGGACCTTATTAGTTTAAAAACGAACAAACCCGTCACCCGCTCATCCGGGTCAGATTTTGGAGCTCCGAATGATTAAATCACTACCCGAAACCTCATAGATCCCGAAACCCTAGCAAACTCTCTTGTCCTTTTTCTTCTCCCCTCTCCCCTCGCCGAAGAGAAGAACGCGCTCGGGAGAGTGAGCTATGGCGAAGGACAAGCGAAAGAGATCCCAATCTGTCGACCTCGACGAAGAACCATCAAGAGTGGAATCGAACAAGGAGAAGAAGCCAAAGGTGCTCCCTTCGCTGATAAAGAACAAGGACAAGAGGAGCCAGGTCCACGCCAAGCTCAAGAAGGAGAAGAAGATCGAGAAGCGAAAGCAGGCCAAGGCCCGCGACGCCGCACACAAGAGAGCCCTCGAGCTCGGCGAGGAGGTGAAGCTCTCCTAAATTTAGGGTTTTGATTGGGGGTGGTTTTTGAACTTTTTTTTGTTCTTGTGAATGTTGCAGCCACCGGTGAAGCAGACTCCGAGGACGATTGAGAATGCGAGGGAGCCTGATGAGACTGTTTGTCAGCCAGATGATGAGGAGGTGTGTGTGTTTTTTTCTTCCCCTTTGGTCTTCAGAATCTGCTTTAATTTTGGATCAAAACCCTAAAATTTGATGTTCGTATGCATTGAGGGTAAATTTCTCATTTTATGATGGCATTGTGAGTATATACGCTAAAAGATGGGATAAGAAATGAGTGCATGCGTAAGAGATTCGAGGTTTGTACTTTGATGATATAGTGGGCTAGAATCGGTTGAGATGGTTAGGGTCATGTATGGTGGAGGCCACTAAATGTATCAGTCAGGAGAATTACTAATATGATAGTTAATGGGGGCAGAGAGGACTAAGTTAGACCTAAAAGAACATGATTAGAAGCAATTAAGAAGTACAGGATAATAATTAACTTTAAGGGGAACTGAATGAAAGAAAGATTCATGTAGCTGACCCAAATATTTGGGACAATCTTTGTTGTTGTTGTTGTTGTTGTTATGCATTGAATTGATTTCGAATTGACAGTTTAGGTTTTGAGTGTGGTAATTGATGTATGCATTTAAAGTTTTTTTATATTGCTTATAAAATGCAAATAGTGATGAGGACTAACAGAATTGAAATGGCATATAATGTGGATAGTGAAGAGGACTAACAGAGTTTTCTTTTGTGAATTAGACTAACTTGTGCAGGGCGTAAAGCATCTTTACGTGCACATGCGCAAGGCGCAACGCGATGCGCACGCCCGAGTGATGCGAGGCGCACACCGCCGACATAATTTTTCAAAATATATATCAAGCGTGAAAGAACATGTTTTTAGAATTCACATGAAAAATATCATGATAAATAATATCTTACTACAAAATCATAAAACATGTTTTTAGAATTCACATGAAAAATATCATGATAAATAATATCTTACTACAAAATCATAATATAATGCCTTAATTTCTAATGCGATAAATAATATCTTACTACAAAATCATAATATAATGCCTTAATTTCTAATGCTAACACCCAACATAGTATCAAAATTCATAAATTTTCAAATTAAATGTTAAATCAAGACTAATATCCAAGCAAAGGATTACTAATAGTTCTCAATTAAAGGCTACTAAAAAGGCCTAATGAATTTATTTTGCTTTTTGGGATATGGAATATCAAGTATAAGACTCGATTGAAATGTTAACAAACAAAACTATATGAGGATATGTACTACATGCACCTTGCACAAAGTAAGGATATACGCGAGGCGCAAAAGGCGTTGCTGCATCAGAAGTGGGGCGCTTTGCCACCACCCCGCATCGTAAGGCGCAGTGAGGTGCGCGCCTTTGAAAACACCGGGTGGTATTTGGAATATAGTAGGTATTTGTAACATGTTAGTTTGTTTACCAAAGCAGTAGAATGGATATGATTAGTGTAAAATTTGACAGATGACTTTTAGGGGAGTTGAATGAAGAAAATGTCAAAATGGTTCATGTAATTGCTTCATAGGTTCCAGATAAGGTTTTCTTTTGCCATTAGTATACTTAGAAAACTGTGAAACCTAGACTCAAATTTGAATGTTAAAAAATTCCTTTTGGCAATGGGTTTTTGTTAGTATACTGGTTTTCAGAGTAGATGGATTTGGAGTATGTGGTGATTACGAGATTTTTATCAGTCTCTATAAGGTGTAATTTTCTGGTTTAGTTTCATGAAAACAATAATATTTGGGATTTTTATATTCTGACCTGCATACAACTTACTTTTGAATCTGGGTGATGGTGTTATAAATTCATGAAGTAATTTGTTGAAGAATTATTGTTGGTATAAATTATTAATTTTTTTAGGTATCTGACAGAACCTTAAAACTTAAAACTTACCTTTCTTGCAAACATGAAATTATAATTTTTGATAGGAGGATTTGGGGTATGAAGTGATTCGGAAGGTTTACCTCTGTGATATAGGTTCTATAATGTTTGTTTATCTTGTATTACTTGAGGGAGTTGCTGAAATTTTATTTATTATTTGATTAACTGCAAAGAAAAGGGAGTACTTTTAAAAAATGTAGTTGGGCATAACTATTAGGCCTTATGTGCATTATGGAATATTGTTGATATGCTTTCAGAAGTTACCTATACAAGTTATATTCCATTCTACTTCTAACTAGTTTTGTACTTAGATTCTGTAACTTAGGTTATATAACTTTTTTATCACCTGCAATTAGTTCTCGAATTCATCTGTACTTCAAACTCTTGATTTTGACAAAGTGTTAGCTTGTTTCACCTGTGAAGGAATAAGTGATGAAACGATTGGATAACACATTTGCTGATTAATTAGCGACAAGTGATTTCCTTAAAAGAGAAATTCCATTCCTCAATATAAAACAACTACAATTTTTTTCTGACAAAATTGACACAAACACAGAGTTCCGATCAAATATCATTTTAGAAAATAATAATCCTGAATGTTTGATTTTGACGAAGTGTTAACTTGTTTGTACCTGGGCAGGAATGAGTGATGAAATAGACTTGATAACACATGTGCTGATTAATAAGCAGCAAGCGATTTCCTTAAAAGAGAAAATCCATTCCTCCATATAGAGCAGCTACAATTTTTTTCTGACATAATTGATACAAACAAAGAGTTCCACTTGATTGTTCTTTAGAAAATAATAATAGTAAATGTAGTGACTATTGGTTTTCTGTGTATTGTTTTTGGCTTGCTTCTTCCGTTTGAACTTCTGAGTGTAGTTAACCTTTTTGAATACAGTTATTTGCAGGAAATGATGCAGATGAGTTTAGCATGATCCTAAAACAAGAGACAGCTCCAAAGATATTGATCACTACATGCCGGTTCAATTCTTCAGTAAGTTTAAAGTTTCAGTTCTCATCATTTCATATTTTCTTGGTGCCTACAAATTTAACTTTGATGAAACTAAATTGTGTCTTGCAAAAGCATTGTAAATTGCTAGCAATCATCAAAGGTTTTAAATTTTATGTGTCTACAGAGAGGACCTGCCTTTATTAAAGAGCTATTGTCTGTGATCCCTAATGCTCACTACTTTAAAAGAGGAACCTACGAGCTGAAAAAGGTGCATATACTGCAGTTTCAAATTCATTAACATCTTTTATTAACTTTCATGATTTCATCGGTCTTCATTGAGACCTTACTTTGCATGCAGATTGTGGAGTATGCAAAGAAGAGAGAATTCACATCAATTGTTGTTATCCATACTAATCGCAGAGAACCAGGTTTTGCACTTTTAAACTTCTATTTCCACAAGAATAGTGTCCTATCCTTTTGGCTTCTTTTTTGCAATTACTAGCTTCTAGAAAAAAAAAATTCCAAGAGAAAGCTTCATCATTACTTTATTGTGGTGTGCTTGACAAGCTTCTGGAATTGTCTGGCTGCTCCTCCTGCTAACGCAAAAGCTTAGTGACATTTGTGTGATGATTCTTACTTTGTTTTTTTAGATGCCCTCGTGATTATTAATTTACCTGAGGGACCAACAGCACACTTCAAGCTCTCTAATCTTATCTTACGCAAGGATATCAAGGTATAATGATGATTTTGTCTAGTATTTTTCTTAAACTTGAACTCTTCCTGTCGACAAATTATCACATTATTTCCAAGATTGTAGTTAATTGTTTTCTTACTGACCATTTAACTGAGAACCGCTAGAGCAAGGATGCCTAGATGACTTCACCTGTTTATCTTATTATGTTATTCATCAATACTGTGCTCAAATGACCAGTGTTTTACATACCATAGATAATGAAATTTAAATAGTTGAAATTGGGATGGTTGTCAAAGAGTTTGAGCTAAATGTCCCAAATAAGATATACTAACCTGTAGGGTGACTTTTTGGTGGAATCTGGATTCTGGAGAATGTTAATTGAAGATGATTGAAAAAAAAAGTAAACTGTAAAAAGACTCACCATGAAGTTCTGCAAGGAAGAATTGTAGTACTAGCATGGGAGCATTGACAAGTTAAATTATATTAACTCCTCTAAATGATACCTTTAGTTTTTATTCATTGGAGACCCATATATATCTATCTATCTATATCTATCTATATATATGTGTGTGTGTGTGTGTGTGTGTGTGTGTGTGTGTGTGTGTGTGTGTGTGTGTATACGTAGACGTAGACGTAGACGCAGCGGAGACATAGACGTATATCTACGTAGATGTATATGTATATGTATACATACATATATACATATACATATACATATATATATATATATACATATACATACATATATATATATGTGGAGTAAAACTCCTATCCACTTAAGTGGGAATAGGAGCCTTGTCCACCAAACTTTTTTATCCACATCATTCTTTCTCAAGATTTGTGCCCATCAAAAGATGCACAATCTTAAAAGATTCTTCATGAATCTATCACCGGATCTCATCAATCATCAACGGTTAAAAAGTGGTGGATGACTTATTCCTATTCCACTTAAGTTGACATAAGCTTTTATCTAATAGATGTGTGTGTGTGGTGTGTGTAATTGTAGACTAACTACATATATATATTGCGGTATAACTGTATATAAATGTATATAGATGTGTTATATACCTATATATACTATATAAATATAATATATAAGTAAGTATACTATATATATATCAATATATATATATATATACATATAGCAGAGAGGAGAGATGAGAGAGAGAGAGTAAATGGGTATGGCTTAGTACCATAGGCACAAATTTTGTGGCTTGGTAGTGAGGTGTCTCATTCCCAAGGTTTTAAATATCGGATATCGGGAAATATCCGGATGGCCAAAATTCATATCGGATTGCGGATATCCGTAGGAATTATCGGTGGATAATGTGATAAATATCGGAATGCCATAATGAATATTTGCATAGATAGTATAATGCATTAAAATGTAATCCAACATTATGTAATGAAATTTAAGCCATAACAAAATATGAATATATATATGTTTAGGATCACCATAAATCAACCTTCTAAAAACAAACAAAGATGGCAAGAAATGTTTTAATCATTCGATTCTGCTTTTTTTAGGGCAAAATGTCATCTTGATATATATAGGAAAATCCTGATATCTTGCCAAAATTCCAAAAACGGTATATTATTTTCAACAAGCTATATAAAAAGATATATTGGTCCACAATAGTCGGCTAATATATCGGCACCATAATCGGGGATTTATCACTCCCAAATAGCCAAAAGCGGTAAATGATATTTAAAGACCATATCGGTTGCGGCGAAGCCTGTAAAAGGTATATCGAGGGATATATAGGGACCATGTCGGGGATATTTAAACAATGCTCATTCACCATCCACATCCATATCAATTTGGGGGGGACCAATCAAACCCATGTGAAGTGTGATCTCGCCATTTGATGAGTGGAGGATAATATTCACCTCACTACCTAAGGAATTTAAATTAGAGATTTCAAATGATAGGTACATGAATGATAGAAAATTGCACCTGGCATATATTAAATTGTATTTCAAAGGTATATATCTGGCAATTTAAGTTATGGGATCACAAATGACAGAAAATGAAGGATAGCAACTGAGGATCTTCATGTTTTTTCCAAATGATGTCCTTTTCTTTGTATTTTTATTCATTGTGAAGTACATTAGCGATTTTGGGGCTTTTGAGTGCAGTCCTATGCTACCTTTTTTAAATCATGTGTGCTGGATAATCCAGGATGATGGTTGATGACTCCGTGAATTCTTCAGCAAATGTCTTTGTTCTAATAAGTTTCAGTTGAGTAGATTAATCTTTATTCCAACATATAATAAAGTATTAATTTATTATCCCTTCGAGGGCACCTGAATGGCAGTTCTCTGCTACCTGTTAAACTCATGTCTGTTCGGTAATCTAGTCTGACGAGCTTCATGAATTCTTCAGCGCATTCTCTGTTTCTAACAAATGTTATCTTGAGTAAACCAGTCTGCATTCCAACTATATAATAGTACGTTGAATAGTGAAACTTATTGGAGTATTAACCTATTTTTCTGGCTAAATCTACAGCTAGATATGTTTTATGTATTATGTTGCTGGCAGAAATTTTTCTTTAAACTATCTAGTGATTATCGAATTTATCACTATTCACAATTGAATTTTAAGTGCGGATTCAAAGACTGCATAATTTACTTGTTTGGCGAGGACTCGTAGCTCTAGCTTTTTATTATAACAGTAATTGTTTAGAAATTTAAAGCTATTTTTGACTATTGGGACTCATGGACATTTGTTTTCATATACCAAATGTACAGGGCCATGGAAATCCTACAGGTCATATGCCTGAGTTAGTCTTGAACAATTTCACTACTCGTCTTGGCCATTTACAATGCAAGTCATTTTGTTGTCACTATGGTATGTTAATAACTGTTGAGCCTTCTATGATTTTTAGGATGATACAGTCCTTGTTCCCTCAAGATCCAAACTTCCGTGGTCGTCGGGTTGTAACCTTCCATAACCAAAGAGATTTCATATTTTTTCGACACCATAGGTATTTTGTTTGTGTAAATTATTCACCATATTATTTTACTTGTGAGCTTTTGTGATTGAATCTACGTATTTTGGGTCCGTAACTGGCAGAAGCGCTAGTCTGAAATTGCACAAGCTTTCATGTAATATGGCTCATCTATCATTCTACTCGTTTTTGCTGCAGTTTATTAAAATAATATTCTGTACGTTTGAGTTGAAAACCCAAAATAGTCATAAATCTTCTTGGTGCTGTCAAAACATCGTAAGACTTTTTCTTTTCTTTTTGTTTCTTTACTCTTTCTTTTCCTTGACTAGTTTGTTATAGATAATCAATCATCATAAATGCTCTTAAGCCGTACAGTATCATCACAGAACTGGTTATCCTAGTTGGAACTTGGCAAGTAAGGATCAGTGAGAATAGTAGAATTTTGAAAACTATTTAATATGTTCTTCAAGGTAATCATAATATATTGGTTTCCAATAATCTCCAATATGCCCCAACGTTAGAGATTTATTAGAACTAATATCAAATTGGAGTATTTGTTATAACGCAACCCTAAACCACCATTTAGTGAAACAATGTTGCCAAGGGTATTAAATGAGAGATGTTTGATCATGGTTAGATGTTTTTAACGTGGCTGGCAGAGAAATTTTCTGACAGGATGCATTTGTGATATCAGAGCTTATTGGTATCTCTCTCCATTTTGCCTTCTCCTTCTCCTTTATTATATTGTTTCTTTTGTGAAAAGCTGCAGAGTTGCACCCTTTTTAAATATTTAGTCCTCCATAATACTTCTTTATTTTTTCCATTCAAGCCAGTTAACCACAACATTTAGAATTTTTTTAGCAGAATTTTACTTTTATAACTGTTTTATCTTGTTGTCTGTAATTTTACTAATTTAACTCGCTAAGAATTGGTTGCTTTCAGTTTTCATTTTATTATTTATCAATCTTATATTTCATCCAAATCTGGTGATGCCCTGGTGCAATATATTTACTTTTGTAGCTATAGGCTCCTTTATTATTTGTGTCTTATCTTTCATCCTAATTTGGTGATTCTTTGTGGGTCCACATGTCATGGAATTTTATATCAGATTCAAGTTTGTTATTACTAATTTTTGTTCATCTGTGGAAACAGGTACATATTTGAAAGCAAAGAGGCAAAAGATGGCCCAAAGAGTAAAGCAGCTAAGGATGACAAGGGAAAGAAACCATCTCAAGAGCGAGTAATTGCTCGCCTTCAGGTATTGGGTTATTCGTAGTCGAATTTTGTTTTACCAATTGATAATTAAACAAGAGTAGCATTCTTTGATAATTTTAATATCGTACACAATGTCCTACGTGTGACATATGAATCAGTTTGAAGATTTACCATTTTGTTTTGTCATTCAGGAATGTGGTCCTCGTTTCACACTAAAACTGAGAAGTTTGCAGCATGGTACATTTGATACGAAGGGCGGAGAGTATGAATGGGTCCACAAGGTATTTCCTCTCCAAGCGCTAAATTGTATATTTTCTTGTTATTAATAATCTAGTGCGCCTTTCTTTTGACCTTTGTCTAAGTTCCTGTCTTATTCGAATTTTAGGGCGATATGGATACGAGTCGCAGGAGATTTTTCTTATAACCAACAGATAAAACTCTTGACCTGCTGAGTAAGTTAATTTTGCTGAGGAAAAGTTGATGTACTCATCATGTATTCTAGTGATCCAACATATCATCAGTTTTGTTCATCTAATTATTATTGTCTAATGTGCGAATGAGTTCGCTTTCTTCTCAAAGATAAATGTGAGATTTGTAGTTTCATATACCAACAGTTTATTTAAATGATTAAATCTATGTTCTTTTGAATTTAGTTAATGCTGTAGGCAACCGAGGCAGCACAAGCTTAATAATTTATGTCTCAAGTGAGTGCCGAATGTTTGTCTTTTTCAGTATGATGTGTTTTTATTTCAGTTGTTCCGTTTAAAGGGAGCCATGTACATGTGATTATATACGCAGTTTGTAGGACGTGCAACATATGTAAACCAAGTTTGTATGCAGATTTGTATGATCTTCACAGTTTAAGCAGTTGTTTATCGGGTCCAATACCTTGTTACCCCCAAACAAGAGCGCAGGACGGTCGAGCATCTTTTAGCAAGCTTACTAGAATTCAGTTTCTTTGTATAAAGAACCTGAAACTGACGGAATTTTCAAGCAAGCTTGATTGAATTGTACTTATTTGCTGATCGGTTTCTTTACAATTTCTTCCATTGGCAGTTTGTACACCTTTTCATTTTAGGATTAGATGTGATTAATTACACAGCTGACCTTGGAGTTTTGTGTGTCTGCGCAGATGGCCCTGATATTGCTAATACTGATTGCACGGCTAACACCGGCAGTACCTTGTCGTGTGGGCTCTAGGGTTACCCGTGCAAAACAACATCTGTGTTGATACCCATACTTCAAAGTCACTGCATTGTTACATCATTCCTCAAGGGTACCAGAACGTAATTAATCCTTATTTTTATTTAGTGAGAAAATGTACACTTGATACATCATCCTTGGTAAGAATATGCACTGAGAAGATAGATTATGAAGTAGTAAATCAACTCCATGATAGTTCTTCTTTAGAGTGGTAAATTGGTAATGCTATTATATTCTTTAAAGAAATTTCTTTATTTAGAAAAAATATCTTACGTTTTAATGAGATCAATCCAAGTTAATCAACATAATCCGAATCAAAATCTCTAAACTTTATCTAATTATTTTAGCAGTTTAATTTAAAAATATGCATCTGATTATAATTTGACCTCTAGCTTAATTTCGACTATGTTCCGGGGAAAGCAGCGAAATGCAACAAATGTTTTATCATCAATTTTAAATCTTTATAAAACAGCACATAAACTAACATAGATAGTTAAAAGGAAACCACAATCTACGCAATCAATTTACTTAATCTATTCCATTTATTTTAATCCATGTGTTCTTGATCATATCATATCATACTCCCTTTAAAAGCACAAGTTCGGGAAAATCTTTCTATGGTTAGTATTACCCTTAGTTTTTTTTGAATATTACATTGATCTATTCTAATTTTAATCATATCTTATCTAATTCCACGTTAACTACCTATAGGTCAACAATTTTAAAAAAAGTTATTTTGAATATTTTATTTAAATCTTAATCTATCCAAATACTAATTATATCCTATATTAACTCCATATGAACTACCGAATATTTTATTTAAATCTTAATCTATCCAAATACTAATTATATCCTATATTAACTCCATATGAACTACCTATAACTCAAAAATATAGAAAAAATAAGATTAAGAAATTATACGTAGATAACATATTATAATACATGAAGTATTATAACAAAACCCAAAAGTTTCAAAAATTATATATAATAGCCTTAAAAGTTTAAAATTACACAAAACATCTTGACTTTTTTAAACTTAAAAACAAACATGATATCTAAAAATTTAAAACTTGTAATTAACACCCTTAATATTTTAAAAATTATAGAAACAACCTCAAAAGTTTAAAGGCTAAATTACATTTATATACCCTATGTGTTTCTCTCTTGAAGTAGTTATATACCCTAAGTTACAAAAAATAGCAAAAAAATACCTTGAGGTGGCAAAAATTTGCAAGTTGGTACCTTCTGTTAACCAGCTGTGAGAATATTCTCTAGAATATTTCCACGTACTGGATCTATGACCAACTTGAATACTTATTACCCTCATTTATTGTATTATTTACTGTATTATCTACCCCCCACACCCCTCCCCACCCGCAAATTAGATTATTTTCATCATCATCTTCTTCTTTTCGTGGCCTCCAACTTCTTCTTCCTCTTTAATACGGATAATAGTAGAAAATAAGATCTTTCACTATGTTGGGGGGGGGGGTTAATTCTTAAGGAGGGGCATTATTATCCTTTCATGTATTTTTTAACACCGTTAGCTAAATTTAAATAGTTACCAACTCAGGTTATTTTTTTGCTATCTTTTGTAACTTAGGGTATATAACTGCTACAAGAGCAAAAGGGTATATAAGTGCCATTTAGCCATGTTTAAATCACAAAAAAAAACATTCTAAAATTTAGAGATTTCAAAACTTAAAAACAACATAGATGGATTCTCGGGATTACCATTAGACACATAGAAATTTAAAATTAGTAAAAAAAATGGTGGCAAAGGTACAAAAATTATCTCAAAAGTAAAAAAATATTAAAAAAATCTAAAATTTTAAAACTTATAACCGATACACATCAAATTTAGAAATTATCAGCAGATTGCTAAAAATTTAAAATTTTTTAAAAACAGCCCAAAATTTTAGTAATTATAAAAATACCTTCAAATTTTTAGAGTTACGAGAAATATTCTAACATTTAAAACTTATCACCAATACATGAAACATGAAAATTATAAGCACCCAACTTAAAATTTAAAATTTTTATAAAATACTACCAAAGTTTAAAAATTGCAAAACACACCCTCAAAAGTTTAAATCACAAAAAAGCTAAAATTTGACAAAGAAAAGAGGAAATGTTTGATATTATTACATTAAGATATAATAGGTTAGCATTAACTGATTATAATGTATAAATATTTATCTCTAATGTTGATAATATTTATTTATAAAGTAAAAAAATACAAAGAGTTATGTATGGAGAAACTATCAGAAAGTTCAGAGATATCCTTTAAAAAAACTAAGTTGTTTTCATTTTAAATGGAGAAGTGAAAGAAATAAACTCAAAATTCAGAAACATTCATGAATCACCTGAATTGACATTGATAAAAAGCATATCGAGCTTCATGAATCACCTGAATTGACATTGATAAAAAGCATATCGAGCAAAGAAGCACTAACCGAGTTCTCCTTGAAGAACATATTGAAGATAAAAAGCATATCGAGCAAAGAAGCACTAACCGAGTTCTCCTTGAAGAACATATTGAACAATTATGTTCTAATTAAAAAACATTATTCATGAAAAGTACAAGAAAAATTAGTAAGTACTTATAAATTTTCATGCTTTATTCTAAAAATATTGAAGGAATCATAAACTTAATATAAAATTTCATATCAATAATCTTGCAATAGAAACTAAAGTGAATCCAATGATCAACTACATTGTGAGATATAATAAACTAGATAAGATGTGAAAATTACTATAATAAACAAAAAATATGCGCATGATACTTAGTTACCATAGTGTAAGTAAAAAAATTAAAATTGATATTTTCTTTACTCTATATAGTGGCATGACTCTGCAAGTATCCTTATTTGGGGATATAACTACCAACGAAAGATCAATTTTTAAGAACACAGTCAAAGATAAGCATGTAATAGTACTGTCAGATTTCAAATTCTTTAAATATGAAGGTAACATATTGTACAACTACAATTCTTATTAAAGGCCAATAAATATAAAATTCATCTTATATCTGTCTCAAATTTGTATGAAAGATATGCATGTCATCGTAAATTATGTTAATAATATATCAACTTATTAAAAAAATAAGAGATAGATAAGCAAACCAATCAAACATCCATATAACATGATCAAGAAAAAATATTACACTTTAAAGCTAATATGCATGGCTCATTCACAACAAGCTGCTAAAACAAAAGCATCTCCATCAAGGCTCTTTATAAATACAACACAAATTTAAATTATTTAATTTTTCTAAAAATAGCTTAATTTTTTGAGTAAAATCAGGAATCTTTAGAAGTGATTTTTATGAACTCTTTTAATTTTTTTAATATGGTTATGTGGATGATTTTATCATATAAAATTGTAATAAAGTTAGCATTAATCTTTATTTTATGATTTTTTTCTAAAGTCTATCAGTGATTAACAACAAAATTTATATTCTCTTTAGTTTCATTCTAGCCCACTTTTAATTAATCATCTTGTCTTATTGGCTTTAATTATTCATCCTTCTTTTATAACATTATCTTTTCAAGTGTTTTTCACTTTTACAACGTTATACCTTCTTAAATCAAGCTTGGTTTCATGGTGATCTAAATAACGCGAAAATTCAAATTAGGTTTAGATTATAGTTATTTCTTGTCAATTCTATTATTACATGAAAATTTTAAATTTTGTGCAGCTCGTTCAAACAAACATTAAAAAAATAATCACAATAGTAAAGTTTGAAAACATAAGTAAAAAAAAACAATCAAAGTAGAACTGAGAAATAAATTTTAGTAAAGAAATAAGTCAAAAATATTTAATCATAAAATTTAATCACGTGCATTGCACGTGCATAAATCCTAGTGTTATATAAACAAGCAAATTAAGCACATTGGATTACAGTTACTCATGTATCAAATGATCTTAAAATTAACCGTTTCATAATAATACAACTAAAAGATAATGAAAAATATGTATTAGAGGTATTTAAACATTATGCTTTTTTATTTTATAGATATTTTGAAATATTGAGATCATAATGAATGAAGCCGATTGTGCATAGGAATAATCTAAACCACTTACTAGGAGGAATATTTTAGGTGATACCTTCTGCATATTTTTTTTCCATAGTTAAAATCCCAGTAAAACACTGAATTAACAGTGAATTTCATGAGTATTGCATTGAAAAATGAGATCTACAAGCTTAAAATTTTAAGAGTTTTATTAAATACCTTGTTTTGTTTGTTGTTTTCTTCATGCCGTGAATTTGTGTCATTCCCTTAAAATTATGCTGATTTCATCCGAGTTTTATGATTTTTATAGCATATCCTCAACAAAATGCATGGACAATCAAACAAAATTTAATTGGATTTTATCATACAAATATATTTTAATATTCATTACAAACAAATACGAATTTGAATATGGATTTTCTAAAATATATAGCATGCATTAAAAATTTAAAATACGAATCACGAATCAAAACAGCCTCTAAAAGAACGGACAAATTTTCAAAATCAACCAATTTCGAAATTTAAATAGCAAAATCGACCTATTCGAAGTTTAATCAGCATAACCGACCATTTTCTTCTGAAAAGGGTCGGTTTTGCTGCTGAAAAATTTTTACGACATACACGGGACTGCTAGTCCCGTGTATTTCGTGGCAGTTTGAATAACACGGGACTAGCAGTCCCGTGTTTTTTGCAGAGACTAACATCTTCCGACCACCGCCGCCGCCGACCAAGCACCCTCCGACCACCGCCGCCGCCGACCAAGCACCCTCCGACCACCGCCGCCGCCGACCAAGCACCCTCCGACCACCGCCGCCGCCGACCAAGCACCCTCCGACCACCGCCGCCGCCGACCAAGTTCGCTCCGACCGCCGCCGCCGATCAAGGTAAATGTGGTTTTTTTTTTATTAGCCATGAAATTTCAGATTTGGGAATCGATTTGGGAATTATGGTTGAGATTTGGGAATGGATTTAATTGAGATTTAGGATTAAAGTTGAAATTTGGGAATGTATTTAGTTGATATTAGGGAATTAGGGTTTAGACATGAATAATGTGATTAGGGTTTAGACATGAATAATGTGATTTGATATTAGGGTTTAACCATAATTAGGGTTTAGACATGAATAATGTGATTTGGGATTAGAGAATTTAGCAATTATTTGCTTTGTAGTTGAGATTAGGGTTTTAAATTTGACTTTAAATTAAGATTAATATTTCCAGTTATAATAGATTATTTACATATGATGGACTGTTGATTTTCAGCTTCGATGGCAAACTCTATACCCATTATTTGCTTCTTCAATGGGAGTCTCGGCGTCGGATTGAATAGTATGCCAATGTATGAGGGAGGTTCTAGGAAAATGTTTATGATATCCAAGTCATTAAATTTTGATGGAATGATGAATGAAATACACAGAGTTACGAAAATTAATAAAGCATGGTATGCAATTAAAGTGTTCTTCAATTGTCCGATAAATGAGAGTAGAACTATTGCTGTGGCGATTACCGACGATGAGGAATTGAATGACATGAAACAATTAGTGGAGAAGCAAGTGTCAGTTGAGTTGTTCATTGAGAAGTATCCGATTCAAGAATTTTCCCAAGTTTCACGATCACAAGGAGAGTTTTCTCGGATGATGGACTTAGACAATGAGTCGAGTGGTTTTATGACATCTCCAAGTCAAGAGCCGTGGTGTCAACTACAACATTTAAGTGGGCATTCTCTTGGTGGGACGTCAAGTACTATATTTAACGACGCATCGGGCTATGTTACGGGTGATCTACCGGCGAGAATGGTCTATCAAAAATCGGGTCAAATTCAAGCCTGTAAAAACTAATACAACCAACTACTATGTAAAATGTTATTTCAACGAGAAGAATGAAGTAGAGCATGCAAATGAGCAAGATGAGAGAAACAGGAAATGTCCTTGGTTGCTAAATGCCGCTGTGAGGAAATCAACAAATGGGCAATTTGTAATATCTAGATATTGCGGGCTTCATACATGTTGCAATCCGTCGGTGGACGTCGATCATTATTCTGCATCTTCCTCTTATATATGTAAGCTAATTATGCCTGAAGTTAGAGCTGAACTTGATCTAAATGCAAGTCAGATATTTCAAAGGGTATATGATATGCGGGGCATTAAGATATCTAAATATAAGGCATATGATGCAAGGAGGAAAGCTTGTCGAAAATATTTGGAGATTGGGAAAAATCTTATGAATTACTTCCACAGTATCTCGAAGCTATTAAGCGAAATAATCCGGGTACTGAATATGAAATATTGTCTGAAGAGATTGCACCGGGGATGGAGAGGTTCACTCGAGTATTTTGGGCATTTGGTCCGGCTATTAAGGGCTTCACTTTTTGTCGTCCGTTATTGAGCATTGACGGTACACATCTATATGGCAAGTACAAAGGCGTGCTTCTTGTGGCGACCGGTGTAGATGCAAATGGCGGTTTATTTCCTCTAGCATTTGCAGTTGTGGAGGTAGAGGATACTTCTAGTTGGAAGTGGTTCTTTGAACTTATATACAAGTGGATTCCTAGTGTCCGTGCGCCCAGATTAATTACTTTTATCTCAGATAGGATGAAAGGAATTATAAGGGCATTACATGAGGGTTTTGGTGCACCACATCACCATCGATATTGTTTGAGGCATATAAGAGATAATTTTAAGAAAAAACACGGTGAGATTAATTTGCAAAATCTTTTGTGGCAAGCTGGGTGTGCAACCGATACATTAGTGTATGAACATTGTAGAGAGAAGATCAAGTCTTTGTCATTAGATGCACATAATTGGATTGAACATAACTTGAAGCCTCAATTCAAGCATCGATGGGCATTATGTAAGGATGAGGGTGTGCGGTTTTGCATGATGACAACTAATTGCTCCGGGAGCTTTAACGGCGTTCTTAAAGGAGCACGAGCTATGCCAATACAATCATTGGTTGCAAGAACGTTCTATAGGCTAAACTCATACTTCAACAAAAGGCATGAGGACGGTGTAGACTGGACAACGCGTTACACACCAAAGAATGAGTCTATTTTGCATAGAAGAATTGAGGCGGCAAGATTATGTCAAATTACTGTATTCAATGACAATGAATGGCAGGTACAGGATTATGACGGTATCTACACCGTTAAACTGTTTGATGTTGATTGCACTTGCACATGTAACATACCACAACTTCAAAAAATACCTTGTGCACATGTTCTTGCGGCTTCCTCCAATCAGCCGGGTGGTGCGAGAATTCCATATAATCGGTATTGTTCACCATGGTATTCAACAATTCATTACCGAAAGACATACAGTGAGAGTTTTCATCCACCCGACAGGATTATGATGGTATCTACACCGTTAAACTGTTTGATGTTGATTGCACTTGCACATGTAACATACCACAACTTCAAAAAATACCTTGTGCACATGTTCTTGCGGCTTCCTCCAATCAGCCGGGTGGTGCGAGAATTCCATATAATCGGTATTGTTCACCATGGTATTCAACAATTTATTACCGAAAGACATACAGTGAGAGTTTTCATCCACCCGATGATAGTCGGTATTGGCCCGAATATACTGGACCATGACTAATTCCACCTCAATACAAGAGACAAGCAGGTCGACCACGATCTGTACGAATTAGGGGAACCATGGATCAAGGACGAGAAGGAATTGTCAAGCATAAAAAATGTAGTCTTTGCAAACAACCGGGACATACTCGACCTCGTTGTCCAGCTAGACTCAATAGATAGCAATTAATTGGTAATAATTGACATATTCAAATTGTGATTTATTTTAATGTAGATAATATAATTAGTCGTGGATCGGTTATTGATATGTTATAATTGTATGTGCAGGTATATACACCATGGAGCCTGGACCGACAAGTGATGAGGTCCTATATGACCAGCCTCGACACCGTTCACATGTTATATCCTTTACAAAGGTAACTAAGTTTCTTATAATTTCAATATTGCATTCTTATAATATTGTATTCTTATATATTCATTTGCTTTATAGAGAGGCCCGGATATTGTTATGGTTGATCATAGCCTCAGCCATAGCCATTAGCATCTAGAGGATGAGCGCATAATAGCAGCTGTAGGACGGGCCGGCTTCTTGACATGTTCAAAGCTTCGTTGGATGAGGCTCGATTGGCCCCTACTCACCGCTTTGATAGATAGGTGGAGGCCGGAGACCAACACTTTCCACTTCCGAATGGGAGAGTCTACTATTACGCTACAGGATGTAGCTATGATACTTGGTCTCCGCATAGATGGTCCGTGCGTTACCGGCAGTGATAGACATTTTTGGCCGGACAAGTGTGAGGAGTTGTTAGGTGTAGCTCCAGAGTCAATGCCTGGAGGAAATATTAAATTGAAGTGGCTAAAAAATACCTTCTCGGTGCCGTTGCCTTTTGATGCGCCGCCAATATTGATTGAGCAACATGCACGTGCATACATTATGCACATGATCGGTTCAATATTATTTCCAGATTCGAGTAAAGATAAAGTGCATGCCAGGTATCATTTTTATCAGTATTTACAATTATGTCTGTTCATTTAGCTTATTTTGATAACTTGAAATGTTGTGAAAATGCTAGGTGGTTACCACTTATCGGGGACTTGGACACGTGTGGTGCGTTATCGTGGGGTAGTGCGGTTTTGGCGTACCTATATAGAGAGATGTCTAAAGTTATATTCATGAAAAATAGTGACCTCAAAGGGTGTCTCAGCTTACTGCAAGTATGGGCATGGGAGAGGCTGCATTTGAAGCCGAGACTATGCGTGAATTTACAATTAGACGGACAAATTCCACTAGGATGCAGGTATTATATTTTTTAACGTAGTAAATATAATTGTAGTTATTCATTTGGTACTGAATTTTGAAACTAACACAGATGGAATGTCCAAAAATGTTTTGACGAGACCCCGGCGAGACAGTTAGATTTCTACCGAAATGAGCTTGACCGCATGAAGATTTTTCACGTATCATTTCTATAAAAACGAGTTTTTTCTTCTATATATCAATTTTCGTTTTAATGATATGCAACAATTATATGTAATACTCTGTAGATGGAATGAGAGCCCTACACCCCATTTCTCGATCATCTACCCCCCGATATGCACAGAATACCCAGTTATATGGAGAGCCAGAGTTCCTCTAATATGTTTCGAGATAGTAGAAATGCATGTACCGGACCACGTGCTTCGACAATTTGGTCTTGCACAACATGTTCCGCAATTTGTTGAAAAAATAGAGAGGAAGGCGAAGAAAGGAGGCCAACAAAAGGACTGGGCAGCTGAGCATTAAAATTATATACACAGATGGAATGATAGACATTTTTGTATTGTTGAGCAAATCGAGCCAACTCCCCAGGAATCAGATTACTACACTTGGTATTGGAGGATAACTAGAAGATGGATACTCCATGCGACCACAGCCCCGGTTGAGTTGCAAAGAGGATATGTGCCTCGGGGTATAGATGAGAGAGAATTAGTAAGTATTTTAAAAATTTATTTTAGGTTAATTTTTATTAGAATTTTTCAATATTGCTAAATTATGTTTTTTTAAAAATTTGCAGGTATCAGCAATAGATGATGTTCAAACCATTGCAAATAGTGGCTTGGAATTGGCTCATGCAGGTAATATAGAATTAAATATAAAATTTACATATTGTAATTTGAATTTTAAAGTAATTTTTGCATTTCGGATTTTTTTGAATTATCTCTCGCAGGTACATATCCCGAAGCACAGAAACATGCATCAATATATCAGTCGATAATGCAGAGGCTTCACCAAGCCTTACATCGAACTCATGAAGACCTTCATGATGGACGAGAAGTAGCGCAATTAGTATACACACGTCAACAACGACACAGACGAGGACGACGCAGAAACGACAATGAAGCTGTGCCTTCCCAACGTGTTGACGATGGAGCTGGACCGTCACAACCACAAACGCAACCGGATCATGAACTCATCGAAGGTCGGGATAGAGGAGGCCGAAGACAAAGGAGGAGGAGAAGAGTTCTTGGATGTATGTAAGCTAATCGGTATTGTTATATAAATTACAATCCTATTTTGATATGTACATTACAAACGTATTTCGGGACAATAGATGATTTTTGGATTTGTAGCTGAGATTGTGGTGTGACTTATTAGATTTGTAAGTGAGTTTGTGGCGTGATTTGTTGGATTTGGATTCGTAAGTTTGTGGCGTGATTTGTTGGATTTGGATTCGTAAGTTTGTGGTGTACTTTATGATTTTTAGATTTGATGTGTTTATACAGGGAATTGACATATGAGTTTGTACATGGAATTGATATATGTGTTTATGCAATGGTGTAATTTATGATTGTTGCATTTGAAATATGAGTTTGTACAGAGAATTATCCCGTAGCAGAAATGCATGTGTGAATGTGCAGGAAATGCACGGGACTGCTAGTCCCGTGCATTTCATTGCGCCCAGGAAGTGCACGGGACTAGCAGTCCCGTGCACTTCATTTTTGCAGCCTCTGCAAAATGCACGGGACTAGCAGTCCCGTGCACTTCATTTTTGCAGAGATGTTAGTCTCTGCAAAAAACACGGGACTGCTAGTCCCGTGTTATTCAAACTGCCACGAAATACACGGGACTAGCAGTCCCGTGTATGTCGTAAAAATTTTTCAGCAGCAAAACCGACCCTTTTCAGAAGAAAATAGTCGGTTTTGCTGATTAAACTTCGAATAGGTCGATTTTGCTATTTAAATTTCGAAATTGGTTGATTTTGAAAATTTGTCCCTAAAAGAATAGATTATGGGCCCCATTCTGTGGGCCCAACACAAAATGCAACGTCCCTCCCAAAGCAGCTGGCACAACTGCCCACGTAACATCCCCTCAATCCTCATAATTGCAAGGAAGAAAAATCGACCGAACCCTAATCTCATTTTCGCGCCCTTTTCTCTTCTCTCTTCCTCACAACCCAAAAACCCAAACCCTAGACCCCCAATCCAACAGCAAAAAGCCCCTTCCACGCTCCGCCAATGGCGGATCGATCGGCCAAACGCCGCAAGATCCCACCTTCGGACGCCGATCGAAGGGGAGAAGACGACTATTTGCCCGGCAACATCGTGGAGATCGAGATCCACAACTTCATGACCTACGATCACTTAATCTGCCGCCCTGCTTCTCGTCTCAACCTCGTCATTGGCCCTAATGGCTCCGGCAAGAGTTCTCTTGTCTGCGCCATTGCCCTCGGCCTCGGCGGAGAACCTCAGGTCGAACCCTAACTTCCTTCTTTCTTTGGATTGTTGTTTTTTTATGCCAGAATGTATTGTAACCCTCAAAACCCTACGTTTAAATTCCATAAAAGGGGTTTTTTTAATACCATATTTACCCTCCAAATCAACCATATTTGCAAAATTTAAGTTACCTTCCATTCTGCCCCGGTGAGTTAAAATGGCCCAAGAAGTTATGTTAAGGAATATTTCCAGAATATTCCTAATTTTCTGCTAGTTGTTTAGCTGAAATTTCCCTTTCCTCATTCAGAAATCATCTACATCAGGTTTGGGGTTTTTTTAACTCAATGTGGTAGAATTGGGGGAAAATTAATAAGTAGCTAGATTTGGAGGGTAAGCTTGTAGATATAGTTAACCCTCAACCCTCATCATAAGTTCGAAACTTTGGTGTTGTTGAAGGGAAAGTTTAACATAGTATCAGAGCAACATGGCAAATCTCATTGGTCACAAACTTAATCAGATTAAAAAACTTGTCCAGGTTTTAGCGCATGAATAGGGTGTTAAAACTGCGAAGGAATATCACAATATAAATTTACAACCCTTAGCACTTTAGAGTTTTGGTGAACGAACATTTGATATGGTACCTTAGCAACCAGGTTCAAATTACAACAGCTGCGAATTTAAAGCAAAATTAAAAAAAATAGATAGCAGTGCATGAGCTCAGGTTTTGGCCCATGAATAGGGCTCCTCAAACTGCGAGGAGCATATCCTATAACCAATTTATAAATCTCAACCCTCATCAGAACTTGTAATTTTAATGTAGTTGAAGGAACCTGTGACATTTACTAAATTTTAGATTATTTTTCTTGAGTGTAGATTCTTGGAAGGGCGGCAAGTATCGGGGCATTTGTCAAGAGAGGGGAGGAGAGAGGTTACATAAAGATATCGCTGCGAGGGTTCACGGCGGAGGATAAGGTTACGATTGCGAGGAAAATTGATACTCATAATAAATCAGAGTGGATGCTTAATGGTAAAAGAGCCGTTCTTGCACAAAGTTTGTTCTTTTGTATATCTATTTAGCTGTTATTCTGTAAATGAGTCCATATTATGTCTTTTTTGCTATAATTAATTGTTTCAAGGCCATGGCTTATGGAGTTATGGATTGTTTGGTCCTCATTTTTACATTTGAATATTGTCAAATCATTTTCATTTTCTTTTTTTCTGTTTGAGCTCACAAACTGAAACCTACTCTGAAGCTTACCTTTTCTCAGCAGCTTCTTTGAGCTATTGTTGGTTGATGCTTTGACTGATTTTGAACAGCAGGTGCTGTTTGAGGCCGGTTCCTCATATGTTTGTGATGTCACATTTTGCTGTAATTATTGTACTTTTGATTGCCCTTTGCAGGTGTAGCAGCACCAAAGCGAGACGTTGTTGAAATTATTCAAAAGTTCAATATCCAAGTCAACAATTTGACCCAAGTGAGACATTAACTCTTTCTTTAACCTGCATTTATCTTTAACTATGGTTTGATTAAAGCATGTTCATATATGCTCAAAGTAGGACATTAGTGAAATTTCTATGTCTATGATTTTGGTGATTTGATGCACAAGGTCTTGCAAACATATGGAAGGCATGGTTAAGGATTGATGCACCTCAATGCTGTGTCTTGTTGTTTGATGTGGCACTTGTACTATGCGAAGAAAGGCCTATCTAGTTAAGGTATTTCCATGCTGCAGGTCAATCGTTTGATTCCGTAGTTTCAGTAAGATTGAAGTCAATTTACAATCTTAAAACTTGAGCATCTCTAGTCCAAAGAATGCCACATTACCTAGTAGTGAAATTGCTACTGATAGGTGCAAACTGGGCTGTTAATCTTTACTTCTAGGTTGGAGATGGAACATCACAGGAAGTGTTGAATCTATAGATGTTGTATGATTCATACATTGGTATATTTGAATGAATCCCCAGTTTTTCTCATTTAAGGGGCTTATTTATACGCAGGAGGGAACATAATTAGAAGCTATTACCAGATTACCAAGAATGGCCAAAATCTGATAGCATTTCTTAGTCTATGTTGTACTATCTATTCTTGAATAGTGAACATAAAAACTTGTCATACCCTCCATGAAACTTCAAGAGCTGATTTTAATTCTCTAGGGTTTTTGTATGATATTTTCAGATTGACTGAGAATCTAGCAAAACTTGTTTCAGAGCTGGCTAGGTAGATACATGAGTTCCAAAGGTCACCTATGCACTGTTTAAGCTATATCTAAATTTTTTTTGAAATAAAAACGATTTCCTGATTACCATTATTAAGTAGAGAATTTTCCAGATATCTGCTAGAACCATTTCCAGTAACCGTAACATTCATCAACAATGGACAGCTTGTCTTTTGATGTTTGGAGTGTTCAAAGTTCATAGCTGGTGTCTTCTTTGGTATTGATGTGGAGCCTTGAATTCTCTTAAGTCTTGTGTAATTGTTGTAAAACATCTAAACAGCTTTCAACTTTTAATCTACTTCTTCGTTCTTAGGGGCAACTAGTATTGAATCACCATAACCTCATTTGATAGGTGAATCATGTAGTCAGAAAGCATCTTTAAATGCTTTTTATGCATAATAGTAGAGTATATAAATGTCATATTCCTGCTTGGAGAGAAACATAAGGGCATAATGGCCAGATTGGTATATTTTGTAGACATTTGGTGACATGTTGGTATATTTTTTTTAATTTTGACAGATTGGTATATTTTGTAGACTCCGGCGTTATATAGCTCTTAAATTTGGCCGGAGTTACTGTTTCGACCACTGCTGATGGGATTTTTTGTATAAAACCCCTCATCAAAAACCCATCCTGCTCCTAACCCCCCTCCCCCTCTCCCTCCTCATCCTCTTCAACCTCCCCCTCCTCTTCCTCCTCATCATCCTCTTTGCATATCCAAGATCGCAATGCCAGCACAAGGACAAGGCCCTTTTTGCCATCATCAACAAAAATTTACAACAAATATTGCTCCAAAATAAAGCCACAATGAAGTAGTAAGTTCACTGTGAAGAAAGAGGTGCTCCAGGGATCCCTCATTATAATTAGTACAACAAATATAGAAAATCTGAGAAATCGAGAAAAATTCCTAAAATTTTCTACACTTAATCCGAAACCCATTTATCAAATACAGACTAATGTATTGTTATACCGAACTAAACTTGCACCTCTCTTTCGCTAATTAAGTGTAGGCGTTTTCAAGAGGACGAGGAGGAGGGAGAGGGGGAGGTTGAAGAGGATGAGGAGGAAGTGGAGGAGGAGGGAGAGGGGGAGGTTGAAGAGGATGAGGAGGAATACGAGGCCGTACGTCCCTTCGCCGATCTTACCGATGAGATCGTACTGCTGCAGCCACGCCCGGCCGATTGTTGCCGCCGCCGGAGCTCCGACCGTCATCCATGGCAACTGCGGTCTTTTTCCCTCTTCTCGATTTCCCCCCCTTTCTTTTTCCCTATTTCACTTTCCTCGGCCGTGCGCTTGAAAGGTAAGCGGAGAAGAGTGGCCTTTTACCATATACCACTCGAAACTATATTACTGGTGACATGTTTTTGATGAGGGGGTTTTATGCAAAAAATTCCATCAGCACTGGTCGGAACAGTAACTCCGGCTAAATTTAGGGGCTATATGGCGTCAGAGTCTACAAAATATACCAATATGTCAAAATTAAAAAAAATACCAACATGTCACAAAGTGTCTACAAAATATACCAATCTGACCATTTTGCCGAAACATAAGTTTCAGGTTATGCATCTAAACAAGCTACTAATACTTGTATGTTGGCACTCTAAACTTAGAGAAGGAAAATTCAGAGATTCTTGAGAACTCATTGTTTGTTAGCTAACAAAGTTATATATCCTATATTGTTACAGAAATTGGAGCGTGTTTGGAGGAAAAATACATGTTTCAGTTGATTTGATATGAGAAGCTACTTGCACTTGTATGCTGGGACTCCAAACTTAGAGAGGAAAATTCATACATTCTTGAGAACATAGTGTTTGTTAGCTAACAGAATTCTATATCCTTTATTGTTACAGAAATTGATGAGCTTTAAGTGATGAGATCTAGAGATGTAACAATATTTCATGTTTTCCACAACTTAGAGGAGAAACTCTTCTTTTCACATCACTGACAGCTATCTATTCTCCTTTCTTCAATTACAATGGAAAAAAAGGAATCTTCCTAGTCCTCATCATCCAGAAGACTATTACTGGTCCTTTGGTAATCTACCTATTTACCTTGGCTTGAGTTGAAGGTATCAGGTACCTTTAGTGGGCAGCATGATGGTCATTTCACTACCTCTAGGTTTATCTAGCGTGTAGAAGATTTCTTCACCATGCGGAGCATTCTGATTATAATTTCTGTTCTAGAGAAGATCATAGTATACTATGCTTTGGGCTTTATTTACTGAGGATAGTTTACACTTTACAGCAGTTCACGGGGACTGATGAATTATGTTGGTCTCACTTCTACATTAGATCAACATTTGGCTTTGGAGTAGAGCCTTAGTTTTGTCTTAGGGATTAGGTGTTTCATGTTTCTGGAGGCAAATCATAATAATCTAGTTGAAGGATGCAAAACAGTGGAACTGAGGTTTATCTATCAGTATTTAGATGTAAGCCATTCGTTCCATCCACCAGTTCAAATGCTTTGTCAACTGACTGATGCCTGCAAGCTCTCGAGCTGCTGATTTGTATTCTATCTACTCATTCTCCTTGTCAAATCCTATTAACTATTATAGTGCTTGTAGCTTACATAATAGCAGTGATATGTCGAAAACTATTTGATGACCCCTGATACACACTCAAGATTTACATCTTTGTATCAGCTTTATTGTCTAATTGGACAGGACCATGTGTGATCTTATTCTGTAGATGGTTGCAGCGAAAAGTGGTAGATTTTGGGATTGCCTCATGAATATGTGCAGCTGGAAACTTGGAATCCTAGCCCTTGCTATTTATTTGGTCCTCTTCTAGTGTTCTTAATTGTTTCCTCAACCGTTTTAATAAAGGAGTAATATGGTTTTTCACATGAATGTATTTTTTATGTCAACTTGAGTGTTAGGAATAATATTTCCATGTAACAATTCAATACCTGTAAATCCAGGTCAGCTAAATTCTTGTTTTTCTTTTTTCTGTTCTTTTTCCCTTCGTTTTTTGTGAATGTTTTGGCACAGTGGCGAGCACACTGGAGATTTAAGAACTTAGATTAATATTTAGTAGAATTTATCCGAGGCTTCCCTACTTTGCCTCTTATTATGGTTTCTAATTTCTATATGCAATTAACCCTAAAAATACTATAAGTACCCCTTCTGCTAGTGCTAAATTAGCGCTCTAGAATACTGTGAATACCCTCTCCTGCTGTATGTGTATTGTTGGAGAACTTAGCTAATCTTCAAGGAACCTCTCTAGCCTCTTCTCTCTTGACAACCCAATTCCCAGGCTGCCAGTTTCTGCCAGTGTGTGCAGCGTGGGAAGCATGTTCTAACCTTCTTCACCCCTTTCGCTGTAATCATTAGATAAGCTCTCTCCCTGATATCCTTGCATGTGTGAGGCTTTCGGAAGTTTAGACAAGAGACTGTCTCATCAAGTCTGGTCTATGTAGTCTTTGACATTTCCATGTAAAGGGTGTACTTAAAGAATTGTGTGTGTTGCATGCATGGGGTTTGGGGGGAGTGCCTTTTAAGATTTTCTATTACTCTTATTGTTTCTTCAAACTCATTATTCCATGAAGTAATACTTCTTTGTAGTCACTCATTCTTCATTTTATATTCCAATGATTTATTTTCAGGTAATGCCATTTGGTTTTATAATAGTTATTTTGAATAATTATTGTTCATGTGCACTCAAATTCGTGTAGTTCTTGCCGCAAGACCGGGTATGTGAGTTTGCGAAGCTAACTCCAATTCAACTTCTAGAAGAGACCGAAAAAGCTGTTGGAGACCCTGAATTGCCAGTTCAACATCATGCACTAGTTGATAAAAGCCATGCACTTAAGAGACTAGAAGTGGTGCGTTTCTACTGCTTCTATCTCACTATTTTTACCTACAACATATTTAACATGCTCTTTAAGTTCTTTTGTTTACTTGTAGACTGTAAAACAAAATAGAGAGACTCTGAATCAACTGAAGGCTCTAAATGCTGAACAAGAAAAAGATGTAAAGCGCGTTCGTCAGAGAAATCAACTTCTTAAAAAGGTAGTTTGTCACAGTTTATGCTCATTTTCTTCTCAGTGTTCCTCATTGCCTCTTTTTCCCTGTTGTTTGCAGGCTGAATTAATGAAAAAGAAACTTCCATGGCTTAAATATGATCTGAAGAAAACAGAATATCAGGATGCCAAAAAACGAGAGACTGAATCCAAGAAAAAACTTGATGAAGCAGCTAAAATCTTGAGTGACCTCAAGGCACCTATAGAGTATGTACTTAAGCCATCACTTGCATGAGGATTATTTTATTTTTCACATATTCTTGTATCATTACATGCACGAACACACACATAGACAGAAACATGAATAAATGTACATGTAAACATATATGTATTTAGGAACTTCTCTATCTATATTTTTATACACATGAATTTGCATGTGTGTCTGTATCCATTGTTATCGAGGCGCGCCCCCCAAGCGCGCCCCGGGCACGGGGCGTTGCGGGCTGGGACAATTGTGCCTCACACCAGAGGCGGGGCGTTGCACGCACACGAGGCGCGCGCACACACGCGCCTCGTGTGCTCCTCGCGCGTGCCTCGTGTGCGCTTGACACCTGCATCATGTAATAGACTCTTTCTTCTGTTTTTTCTAAAATAATTTACATATTACATATTTACATCATGTAATACTCTTTCTTGCTAGTTGCTAATCCATACTCCGTCTTTTCATGTTTAACCTATAAAAAAGAAACAGTAATTAGTAATTTAATATACTTGTTTGCTAATTGTAACTTCCTTCTCTAATTAGCATGCTAACTAAAAAATTATGAACATGTAAATATGTAATTGTTACATCCATTCTCCATCTTTTCATGCTAACTAGCAAATAGCAATTAAGAATGCTAACTAGAAAATTATGAATAATCATGTTTGTTAATCACTTAATTGTTGCTTAAAAATACATATATCATATTTTAAATGAAAATACATATTTCTAATTTGTTACTTGCTTGTTTTTTTCATAGACTTTTGCTTATGTTGGAGATTATCTTGCATTGTGATTTGTGGAAACTTATGAACTTCTCTATGTTATGCATGCTAATTAAGACTCTTTCGTGATTTAGTAGGTGAAATTATATTTCTTAGTCTTTTTATGTGACAATTTATACACATGTTGTTTATATGCTTCTTTGTCTTATGTTGAAAAATATTAGTTTGAGTCGTGCACCTCAATTCAATGAGGCGCGCGTATCGTTGTGCGCCTTGTGCATGGTGCGTGTAAGGGGCCTTTGCGCCCCGCGTTGCTCCTCGCGCCTCGATAACATTGTCTGTATCTCTGTGTGCGTGAGCCCATACACAGGTGCTTTTATTATTACCATTAATTCATTTGAAGGAATTAATCCACCGAGTTACGTAGGCTAACATCAGATAATTCTCACCAAAATTTTCAAATAATAATAATAATAGTAATAGTAATACATGTAAAACAGTAGGATGTTGATAGTGGATAACAAACAGTGGAAAGAGGGTCTTGGTGCAGCAGATCAAGAGGTCGCAATGGAAAGAAGGTCATGAAGCTAAGTTCCATGGAAACTGGTATAGGTGTGAGTACACGACAAATTTGTAAAATGTAGGGTACGAGGACACAACTCTATGCATGTTGCGCGTGTTGAAAATTTGAAATTAATAATTTACATGACATCATTATTGTTCTTCATTTCATGTGTTATTAGAGTTACATATCCTATCACATTTTAAATTTTTTTATTATGTTGATTATTATATATTGAAGACTGCTCTTTTTGTAACTAGACATCGAAATGACCCTTTACAATAATGATAGGATATGTAACCATGCGTCAGAGGCTGAAACTAACCTGGCCCATGTCTAACAGGTTTCAAGAAATGGATGTGAAATGTCGAATATACATCCAAGAAATGTAGGACGAGTGTTTTACATTAAAACATATATCATATAATTGAGTACATGTTTGAATAAATATATGCATATATCCAAGAAGTGTCCATAAAGTTTCAGTACGGGTATGTGCTGGGTACGTATTGGGTACGACTTCATGGTAGAAGTACTGGGGTAATGTAGCCATGAAGTGATTGGTCTCCCTGTAGAGACATGGAGGAGGGAATTGAGTTTTAAGAATCCGATCTCAACCATTGATTGAACCATATACTGTACAAATGACTCCTATAGTGGATTCACAACTTATTTTGCTTCAATTTAGTGGTGTATCTTTAGGCATACTGTTGCATATCCCATAATCATTCCCTCTTTAGTCATTGACAACTTAATAATAAGTCCTATGGTGGATAATACTTTTTGCATATCTGTAACAACCTCAATTTGAAACTTGAACATATTTACCATGACTTAAAAGCATCAATCATGTCGCCCAACTGGCCTTGACCTGACCATGAATCGATTGGGTTACACATATTGGCTTTAGGTCCTCCTAATTTTAGCTGGTTGGATTTGGTTGGGTTTTGATGGCACGTATTGATCTCAGTGTAACCATAGTAACTGCCATGCTGGCAGCTCTCTGCAGTTTATAATTCCATTGTAGGATTCCTTGATTACGGCAGTCCTACTGATTCTACTAGCATGCTGTGAAATTCATTTTATTTTCTACCTTGATCATGGAAATTCTAATGCTCCTAATTGCTTGCTGTGAAGTTCATTTTGTTTTGTTGTTTGTTGTTTATATGGTTTCCTTTTTCCTTTTTCCCCCCTTGTTCTCTGGTCATTGGATTTACCGAAGGGGCTCATGCATACTGTAGGTTCCACACTTGTTTAACATCTTCATATTTTACATTTGATATATAGTCATCTAACTATATCTTGATGTGCTTCATATTATTTGTGCCTGAGCTTCATTGTCAGCAATTCTAGCATGCAGTTTTTCATCTTAGCTATCACAAAGTTTGTAGGCAAGACGCATTTGACATTCATAGCTATAATTCTTTATCCTACTATTTGTCATTAGTTAAGCAGAAATTAACCTACTAATCAATCGATATTTTTATCCTTCAGGGAGAAAAGGAAAACAAAAGCAATTCACGAATCAAGTAGCAAAAAGATAAACAATCAAATAAACCTAAATGCAAAAAGACGCTCTGAAAATTTGGAGATGGAAGCTAAGATGGTATCCTCATCTTTCTTCAACTCCTGTTTGTGGGATTACATTAACCTCCACTGCTGTAAGATGGACAATGAATATCTTTTATATTTTATTAGGCAATACAAGTGCGTGCAAAATATACAGATATGGACGATTTAAAAAGGCAAGAGGAGTCTCGTCTGCAAAGGATGGTGAGAGCCAAGGAGGATCTTATTACCGCTGAAAGAGAACTTGAAGAGCTTCCAGTATATAAACCACCAAAAGATGAACTGGTATGTTTATTCCATATAACTATATCTACAAGTTCTATCATTAATTGTTTTCAGGATGCTTACTTGTCATATAAACTTATACAGGTAGTTGTATTCACTAATAAGTCATTATTCGTGGATATTATTGGTGGTAGGTTGCTAGTACTATTCTAGGAACCATCTGATTCCTTTTTGTTTAGTTGAATGTTCCACTGGTCGACATTTGTTTTAGTTGTTATAACGGCTATAATTGGTAACAGTATGTGACTCCTTGTGAACTATTGCTCAAAGAGAGTCAGTGTCATGCTAGAGTTGCTGGAGATGCAACAAAAGGATCAACCATGTAAAGAACTATTGCCATGTAGAAACTATTACTAAGTATGTTCTCCAGATTTGGAGCCTAGTATCTAGGAAATGTTGGCTTAAACCTTTGGTTGCTGGTAATCATGATTGATTTCAGTGGTTTAGCATAAGGTGCTACTCCATGGTTGTCTTGTGCTTCTGTAACTCAGTCGAATGAAGAAATTAATTATAACTCAAGTCCTTGAGTCTGGATTAGTATTTTGTCTTAGAATGTTGCAGTTGGATGTGAGTATGTAAGGAGGGGTAAAGGTTGGGTTAAGGACCTTGCACTAAGCTAAGATGGGTCCTAGAGCTGTTGGGTCTTGGAGTGCGAAGGTTGAAGGTGGTGCGGCAAATGGGATAGCCATGTGTGCGTTCTAGCGTAAAGAAAATTAAGTTTGTTGTCTCTATTATCAATGAAGCCCTGGACAAAGAAATACTTGACGAAACCCGTGAATCATGATTCGGTGGTACAGAAAGAGATCTGGATTGATACTTTTGGCTGGGAAACATTGTGGGGAAGGTTGCAACAACGATTTGTGTCCATTATCAATAGCCATTTTCTTGAACTAGAAGACAGTCTACAAGATGAATATGCTTAAAATTTTACCCTTGGCAGTGGTGTCAATTTCTTGCTCATGCTCTTAATTCAAGTAAGCAAACTCGAGTTTTGTGAATCATTCATTGAGAATGTGACTTCTTGAGCTAACCGGCAAGTGGGACTATTGATCACATTAATTATCCCTCAAGCTGATATGTGTTTGGGAATCAAGATGAAGAGGCTCACCTGCTATGGCAGCCACTTGCGACACTGAGCCTTTTGCCCACTGCTCCTCCTTTGGCAATTTTTTCATCGGCGGAACAACCTGTAGGGAGAAATAGTGCAGGATTTTGCATTTACACATAAGAGGTAGCTAAATATACGTCAAAATCACCCCTGGTATTGAAGGTACCTCGGTACAAGTCAAAGATGACGGGAAAAGAAAAGCCCTTTTGGGGGTGGGGGGATATAAGTGGAAGGAGCATATGTTTTTGACGTTTTTGAAACTTTGGAAGTTTCTCGAAAGTTGTTGGAGAGGATTTGGATCTGGTGTATTGGAAGAGGAACAGAAACAATTGGTTGATGGCGTGGGTCCACAAGAAGGAATGGTGATTTTATGTTTGATTTGGAGTGTCAAAGCAATTACAAGCAAGTGCAACATGGGAATTTATGATTTGGACTAGGAAAGATGGTGGCAGCATGTGGGGAGGGGAATGTGAAATTATTGCTGGAGTGATTGTAATCTAAAAGGCAGGGTTGAACCTCTGGCTCATCTTAAATCAACAATTCTCATTTCTATTAGACCATTGAGTAATATTCTTTTTTCAAAACACGAATCATGAGGAGTGGCTTAATTGATGATGGGTAGAAACAAAGTTGATGCGGGCTTAGACGAACATGGAATTCTGGATTTAATCTTGTCGTATTTAAATATGTACTTTCGCATAATATTATGTCTAATAAAATTTCCGAACTAGAAGATAAATGCTAGGATAATATCTCACACCCTACTTTGGATATTCCTACTGCAATAAATTTCAGAGAGTTGTTCAGCTAAAATAACTTGAACTGCACATGAAAGTAGATGACCGTTGTAGCGGGAACATCTTAATATCTACATGTACCACACATGGTAAATATGTTATCCATTCTATTAACTTTTCTTTCAACCATTGTCTTTATGCATGTACAAGTGTTCATATATTTGGTGTGTTTTTGACGTTAACAGTGTTTTTCCTTCCGTGAATAGGAAAGGTTGGGCACTCAAATTTTGGATCTAGAACTGAGTGCGAAGCAATTAAGGATGCATGGGAGGGAGAAAGAACAACTCCTGCAGCAAAGAAAATTTTCCTTGATGCAAAATAAAGATAGGTAATTGCTACTTCTGTGCGCACTAGTTTTCAGTAACATGTTGCATTAACTTTTCTCTCTTCCCTGCACTCCCTTCTGCACTTCTTTAATTCCATGTCTTACAACTGATTTTAAACTTTGTTAGATTGAAGGAGATGGAAAATAGCAATAACAAGCTTCTTCAGGCATTACAGAGGTGTGGTGCAGATAAAATATTTGAGGCCTATAATTGGGTACAAGAACATCGGAATGAATTAAGGAAAGAAGTATACGGTCCGGTCCTTCTTGAGGTATGTGATATTTGCATGTTGATTCTATTTCAATTTCTTCTCTCTTTCGGAGTTTCATATCCACAATTTCTTTTGTTCGGTTGCATAACTAGGTGACTGTTCCTAATCGGAGCCACACAGCATACTTGGAGAGCCATGTTCCTAATTATATTTGGAAGGTATAGTAATTCCTACTTACTTTTAGGAAACTACATAATTTTTTAATGCCTAGATATATTAAATTTGTGTGAGTTTTGTCTTTGATTGTGTATACAAATTTAAATAAAAAGAAAGTCTCTCCTATATTATGTAAGTGTGGAAGGTTGCTTGTTTCTGACTTTTGGACCAGTTAACCTGTCCTGGATTCTCTTCCTGACTTTGCAAGATGACTAGTAGCTAACTGAAGGTTTAGATGCACAAATGTGGGGACACGGTGGCATTAATAGACAGGTAGAGCATGTCTATTAATGTGTACTTGTGTGAGTCAAGGCTTATAGTATTGTGTAATGAACCCTGCTAATAAAAGTATAAAACTCTTGAGGTGTCCCACCTTTTATTGTTCAGTCAACCTGATCCTAGTTTTCTTTCTTCAGTATATAGGGTCAGATGAAACTGACCGTAGAGCTGATGAGGTATCAAAATTAGGGATTATGGATCTTCTAGTACAGTAGAAAATCCTACAAGTTACATTAATGTACTGATAGAAAACATGTCTATAGTACTGTGCAGTTGAGGGGCCATCTTTATGGAATTGTGGAATGACTTCAACTTCCTCACCATTATCTTCTTTTGCTAATAATACTCCTTGAGGACCCCCACTTTCTCAAACATAACCTAATGTGTATTCGGTAGCTAAACTACGAGTTCAACCTGGAATTTCATAGTCAAATTCTCTCCTGGGCTCTGATTCCATAATTTCTAGGTAACCCATTCTCCCTTGGGTGTGTCTAAACTTTCGACTCAATGGTTGCGACTTGCTAGAGTACATGCATCTAGATGACCTAAGATCACACTCCAGCATAATTCCGAACCACTCATGATGAGTTTAAGGGAACATGATGATTCTAAAATTTAAAATATCTTGAATATATTCATAGTATATATTAATACAAAAGATTTTTTTAAAAGCTTCTTTATAATTTGTACATCAATTGAAACTCTTGCAACTTTGAATTTTAATTGACAGCAGAAAAAGTATAAACCTAGACTATGTGCACATTTCAATGCGTTCCTTTTTCTTTTCTGAAGAAGTCACCAATTAACCCAGGGCTACTATTTAAATTACCAGTTAATGTCGTTTCACACTTAAATAACAATTGAAACACCTAAATCTACTGACAGTCATCAGAAGCTATAAGCAAATGCAGTGTTTCTGTCAACTTGTCCAGCAGTCCCACTAGTCCAAAGCACACCGGCTTCCACCTGTCGACCATTTGAAGGGGAAAAAATTGAAAAATAAGTAGCATACCTTTACTGCACAAGGTTGACATATTCCTTACTACTTCCTTGGTGTTGCATGTGGTATTTATTGATTGTATATTTGTAATTGCAGTCCTTTATCACCCAGGATTCTTCTGATAGAGATTTCTTGGTTCGAAATTTGAAGTCTTATGATGTTCCAATTCTCAATTATACAGAGGATAGATTCAATAACCAAATGCCTTTCAGCATTTCCAATGAGGTAATTGAGTGTTAGTTATTTTTGCTTGTTATTGTCTTATAGGATTTGTAATTTGGTGGTTATTGTTTTCTCAGATGCATGAGCTTGGCATCCAGTCTCGCCTTGATCAAGTATTTGATGCTCCCAACGCTGTGAAGGATGTCTTGATTAGCCAAGCTCACTTGGACAAATCAGTATGTCCACGCTATGGATTCTCATTTCTCAGATCTATCCGCTGTAACTTATTGTTGATTTGTGCACTATGTCAAGTCAATCCTAAGCAATTGTTCGTTTAAGCTCTGTAAAGAAATTGGGCTTTTCCTTGAACAGACCTTGTCCCACCTTTTATTATTTAGTCAACCTGATCCTAGTTTTCTTTCTTCAGTATATAGGGTCAGATGAAACTGACCGTAGAGCTGATGAGGTATCAAAATTAGGGATTATGGATCTTTGGACTCCGGAAAGTCATTATCGATGGTCTGCCTCAAGATATGGCGGTCACGTTTCTGCAATTGTCGAGCCTGTTCATCCTTCTCGTCTTTTTATGTGTAGTATGTTTCATCATTCCTTTTTTACAGTTTCCTATTCCATGCACAAGTTCATGCGTTCTCACTGCTTCTTTTTGTGAATGTTGTTACTGCTGCAGGTGTTGATATTAGTGGCATAGAGAACCTCAAATCAAAGAAAACTGAACTGGAAAATACTATTGCAGAGTTGGAGGAAAGCTTGAGAGTCCTTCATGCTGAACAAAGGCAGTTGGAAGACGAAGCAGCCAAATTACAGAGAGATCGGGTATGCTATTTTCAGGTGGATGATAATCAACAGATCCTCGTTAACGAATAATACCCTCATTCGATTTTCTTCTCATTACTGGTCAGGAGAGTATTCATAAACGAAATAATGATGAGAAAAGAAAACGTCGTGAGATGGAAAGTCGTGTGGGTATGTATTTTCTCAGTCCCCTATCCACTTAACTGTTGCATAGATAATGTTGTGGGTATCATATGCTTTAATTCCAGAGCAAAGGAGAAGGAAGCTGGAAGCCCTGATGGGAGATGAAGATCTTACTTCAGCTACTCAAAAACTCATTGATCAAACTGTCCAATTGAATGAGCAAAGATTCCAATTGGCAATGAAGATTAAGGTCTGGTTACATTTAAAGCCATGCTCTTAGTCTCAGTAAACATCAATGGCATCTCCTAATGCAGTATTATTGTAATGAAATAAGTTCCAAATTATTATTTTCTCTCATCTTTTGCATATGGTAAATGTCTTGTCGGTTCTTTTCTAGAGTTTGCTTATTGAGGCCATTTCTTTAAAGTGGAGTTTTGCGGAAAAGCAAATGACGTCAATTGAATTTGACACAAAGGTACATGTATTCACTTTAAATGGTTTTACTAACATGTAATATAATTCAAGATAGTTTGAATGTGCTCACATGTTTAATCCCTTTCCTTGTAAATATGAGGTGGAAGCTTCCTTCCAGAGATTACATGGCAAAGCATCTGCAATTTTGAATAATATCACCATTGCTTTACTTTGTGACTGTACCAACTACCAACTTTTTAACTTGTGCTGTCTGTACTCTGTTATCACTTTTTCCTTTTCTACATTGTGAGCTAGCACCCTTTTCTTTTATTATACCATTTGTATAAGGGCTTTCAAACTATTACCTGATTTGTTATGTTCCTGTTGGAACCTATCTCTTATGTTACTCCATGCTCTTGCATTTCCAATTATGTGTACTTTAACGGTTTTTCCTTACGTTTAACACAGCCATTCCACCAGCATGTGTGGCATATAAAGTATTTTACCACTGTATAAATTATTATTACTGCAACTGTTGGCACTGTAGTGCTGATCATTACTTGTGCTGCTGAGTTCTGCTTCTGCTGCTATAACTGCTACTCATACTGCTGGTGTTAATACTTCTGCTATCACTACCACTACATTCATCATTATGGTTGCTACTATCCAAAAGAAATACATGCATTTGCTGCAATCTTGTGGTTGCTAAACTGGGTCATTTTTTCCATTCAGCTTTGTCCTTCTTCATTGGCTTTCTTAATATTGGAAATTATTTCCTGAAAATTTGTAATTTCCACATCTTTTATGAGTGTTTTGTACAAATACTTATTGCCAGTGATTTGAAGTAGTTTCAAATTTTCCTTTTCAATTAAATTTTATATAAGAGTCACTAATCTTACATTTCATAGACAGTATGTCCCATTTGTACTCAAAAGATGAATGTTAATGCAAATTGTACTTTGTCCTTAGTAATTTCTCATATATTTGACCCAGCAATAAATCTGAAACACTAATCTTTATAGATTTGCTATTCTTTTTGCATTCTTATTCTGAATTGTCAATGCTTCAATGCTTCAGATCAGGGAAATGGAAGCCGATCTAAAGCAACAGGAGAAATTTGCTCTTAATGCAGCCACACACTACGAGAATTGTAAGTTAATAAAACACCTTAGACCAATTTTCAGATTTTGCTTTATGTGTTAACAATTATATTTGTGTTTTATAAAATCTATCATGTACTTGGAGCTTCAATGCTCGTGTTCTATGAAATCTATCATGTAGTTGGAGCTTTAATGTTTGTGCTATATAAAATCTGTCATGTAGTTGGAGCTTTATTTTCTCGTGGCATGATAGTAACATTAGTATCTCAATTTATTGTTAGAAAGCATGTTTAAGCTCAACAAGTAATACAAGAGGAAGCTGGAAATGAAAATTTTTACTAAATTGTCGTGGATTCAGTTGACATCCTTTGTGTCATTGTTATCAGCATAATTGTTGCCTTCTCCATCTAAATGGATGAATGAAATTGATGATCCTAAGCCTTTCTACATCAGCAGCCTCCCACTATTGACTTTAATCCAACAATCAAACTTCTTTACTCCCTAACAAAGGACTTGCAAGTACCTGGCTCCTCCAGAAGGCACACAATTCTCTCAAAAGCTAGTCTATTCAAAGAAGACATCTCTCAAGTTGTCTTAAAACATGAGCAACAATCAATTAAAAAAATTCAATTGGAAATTTTCAGCGACAAATATGAAGAAGCTTGTAAATTGTAATTGTTTCTGATACTTGCTAGAGAAGAGAAATTTGCAAGTTTATAATGCAGTAAACCATACTATTTAGTAAAGTTGTTGAAATATGCTGTAAGTTATCCATGACTTCAGAAGTTATAGAAAATACCTGTTATTTGAGTTGTTTTGAAGACTAATTGTGCTAGTTGTCATTGTGTGTCCTTCGGTATATCTGTTCCATACATCTTAGTGCAGCTGCTTTCAGTCTGTTCCTTATAGGTAAATGCTAGCGGACCAAGTCATGTTTAGTTACTAGCACTTATAACTACTGTAGAAGTGACCAAAGGTACGACTTAATTATATATCTCCTATATTTTTGCCCAACATGATGTGTCAATTATGTTTAATTGAATACCAGTATCAGCAAATTGACCTGCACTGATTTAATATAGTACATGACACTCCTTGTGTGGTTCTTTGAGCCACATGGAAAAGTCTCCTGGTTGAACTTTGTCTTAGAGGTAGAAAAAATAAGTCTCTGTGTGTATGACATGAGGTTTGAAGCAGAGACCTCTTGAAATGTGGCGGTTTGTTATCATGTTCATAACTACTTTACCAGGTGTCAGTTAACTATGCATCATTAACATCTTTCCTTCATTTTTAAACTTTAATATGTTGGTAACTATATGAATTTCATTAATTTTCTCCTTGATTCCTGTAACATTCGGTTTTGTGGCTGGAGTCCAAATATTTAGTAATAAAGCTATTATTTGGGCTCATTAGTAATACTGTAATAAAGCTATAGTTCCTTGCTTATTTTTATATAATTCAGGCTGTACTATTGTTTTGAATTTTCTGCTACACATCGTTAAGACCTTGACTATCTGAAAGTTTGATAAACTCTTAGGCAGGAAAGTGCCATACTATCTATTGCAAACATAATGATTTGTTATTAGTGCTCATGCTAACTTCTGCTATACTTATTACAGGTAAAAAGGATACCGAGGATTATAGGCAGCAACTATTTGATGCTAAACGTCATGCAGAATCAGTAGCCATCATCACAGAAGATCTCGCTAAAGAATTTCTTGAGGTATGAACTGGTTTGATTATTTCTTTTTTTATCATAATACTTGTTTCTATCTCCTCTAGCCTAAGTTGCATGGAAACAAGTACGAATGCGGGTACAGGTACAAGACACAGGAAAATACTAAAATGTAGGGTATGAGGACACAACTACATATTTATTTTGAAAAAATAATTTACATGAGATCATTATTGTTTTTCAATTCTTGTTTAATTAAATTTAAAATTCCTATTACATTTTTTAAGTTTTTTATATTACGTTGATCATTATAATTTAGGCCAAAAGGCTAATTTGGTCCACATACTGAGGCCTCATACTTAAATTAGTCCCCGTACTTTATTTTTTCTCAATTTAGTCGTCGTACCACAACTTAGTTATAAAGTAAGTACATTTTTAACATCCGTTAAGTGTTGGGCATTAATTTTTCGTTTGTGATCACTTTACCCTCGGCAATAAAGGTCCTTGTACTTTTAAAATAGAATATCCTTTAAACCGTGTTTGACTTTAAATTAAAACATATATCATATAATTGAGTACGTGTCTGAATAAATGTATGCATATATCCAAGGAGTGTCCATGAAGTTTGGGTACATGCACGTGTCGGGTATGGATGCGGCCTCATGATAGAAGTACCTGGGTAATATAGCCTCTAACTCTTGTTTATTTTGAGATCTCTGTTTTGCATGAATGGTATGGCTGAATAAGATTCTAACAATGATGAGTGTATATTGACAAGAAAAGTGATGGCAGCCGACTTTTAGCAAGGCTCCATAATGAATTTCCATAGGGAGGCTGAAAAAAGTTGGTTAGAAGCTTTTTACTTGAGTTTCGTCCTTGTTGTTTAAAATCATCGGCTTATGCCAGGGTATTCAACAACCATGAGAAATATACTGAAAAAAAGAGACCATAAATTGGTTAAGGAAATCGTAAACAAGACTTTACATTTATAATTGACGATAAAATGAGTAAAAAGTTTAGAAATTTTATGGACTCCTGCTAAATGCAAAAATAAGCCATCTAACTTAAAATAAAATAAATGATGCCTTTATTTTCTCCTCGGCTTACGTGAATTCTAATTTACTTTTCTAGTTACCATTTCCTAAGACTCATATACTTGGCATCTTTAATTAAAATCATTCAGTTCTTCCTCAACAGTAAAGAACGAATATGTTGCTAACAAGGTGAAATCAGCTGTCCTTCAGTTTAGTAGAAATGCTCGGGATGTCAAAGATCGTAGAAACATTGCGTAGTGTCGTATGTATATATTCTTGCTGCCTGCCACCTTAGGAAGCAGGCATTTATGTTGTCAATAGATTAAATGAGAATTGAAGATAAGAATTAGTTCATTCTGGACCTCATTTACATATACATGCCTCTTAGAAATTTATGGTAAATTAATAATGTATGTATATTCTAGTACACACTATATGCCTTTATTTAGGACTGTTTGAGCGTCAAATGATTTCAAGGTTTCTCATTCAGTTACATGAAGTATCAACCTCACACGACAATCACATGCATCCTCATCTTATCAAAATGCAAATAATTAGTGGCATTTGATCAGATGATGAGTGGAAAAGGTTAGAGTTTCGTACGAATCTGAACTGCTTTCATCTGAGGTGTATCAAGTCCTTATCGGTTATCAGAGAACTGCAAATGGGTGGTTGTGCAACTTAAGAAAAATTGGATATGGAAGATAAGTGCTAGAAATTGTAGAAGGACCATACACACGAGAATTAAGCAAAAGTGTCAATAAGAAGGTACTTTGACTATTTATTTGTGATTATGCCATGAAAAATCACAGTGGTGTTTCCAATAATCATGAGAATCAAACCCGATTATTCCTAACTATTTATTGATGTTCCACATTTTGGCCATTCATGTGAGAGACCTGGTGTAGTTTTGTACATTATCTTAGTCTTAGAATTGATGACTATATCCCTGTTTTGGCACTCTTTTGCTTTGGGCTGCGAGTATGCGGTTTATGCATCATGCCTTACTTTTATTCTTGTTAAGATTCTAAAGATTACATGAGCTCTTATTTATGCTGTTCTTCAGGAGTTGCATTTGATACTACAGTAATTTTATATGACATTCTTGCAAAAGAAATTCTGAAATCTTGATTGCATGTAGATGCCTGCCACTATAGAGGAATTAGAAGCTTCTATTCAAGATAATATCTCAGAAGCAAATTCTATCTTGTTTCTCAATCAGAATATTCTTCAAGAATATGAGAGCCGTCAGCGAAAGGTAGTTAATTAAGTGTTCTCCACATGTTTCTGAGGTTGATATTGAAACCACTTTGTACCTGTGTGCAGATAGAGTCCATGGAGACTAAAGTTGAAGCAGATCAACAAGAACTAGATAGATGTTTATCTGAAATAAACACCTTAAAGGTTTTATTAAGATTCTTTTATTTGATGCCCATGTCCATTTTTTTATTTTCTAATTAGAGAATTGTCTGTCTAACTTCCAAGCTTTTATATTTGATTGGGGGGTTATGTAGTGTTTGTGGCTCCCAACACTTCGAAACCTTGTTGTCAGGATTAACGAGACTTTCAGCCGTAACTTTCAAGAAATGGCTGTAGCTGGAGAAGTTTTACTTGGTACTTTCATCACTTATCATATTAATGATGGCTTCAGTTATTGCTTTCTTTTTCTAATGCTCTCTTTTTTGTCAACAGATGAGCATGAGACAGATTTTGATAAATATGGCATACTAATAAAAGTGAAGTTCAGGTTAGTGTCAGGCCTTTGTTAGTAGACATTGTTCATGTTTCTAACCAAAATGACTGAAGGAACTATCTTATTTCTGAAAGATGATAGATATGGTATTTACTTCTTGTATTACCCTGAGAATTTGTACGGTTGCGTCTAATCTGTGATATTGATGAAATGCAATTATCAATGATTCATGTTGTATATTGCCTGATGTATGTTATTTGAGGGCCATCCCTACAGTTACTCATTTGCTTGGACATTTGACAAAAATAGAGTCAACTTTGGAAGTTTCTGTTATATTATTTATACTTTATTTTACTTCTTGTTACCTTTGTGAAATCCATACTCTTTCCTACTGTACTTGCATAAATCTTCTGAAATTCAAATTTTAAGTGGACTTAGAAAAATACATATTATCTAACTATCAGGATCAATGATGCACATCTTTTATTAATGCTAATTTCTTATCCCTCTAAATTATGAAACTCTTTTTTTTTTCTTTTTCTGCAGGAAGACTTCTTATAATCTTTATTTATTTATTTATTTATTTTCAATTTGATGCAGTTGTGACAAATTTGTGAGTGTGCACATGTTTTCTTTTTCTTATTTTAGTTAATTCCCTCCCTTTTCCTCTATTTCCCCCTTCTTTTTGCATATTTAGAAGTTAGGACTGTTGCCAATCTTCCTAATGTCAGCCTTCATACTAGGCAGTGGCAGGTGGAATGGTGGAAATTCAAATATTTGAGATTTTCTAGTAAGTGACAATGGAGTTGTTTGCATTCTTACAAACTAATCCGTCTAGTCTTCGTATTTTTGTTGTTTGTCTACCATCTTTAAACTCTTCAGGCGAGACTTCTTTATGAAGTTAATTTGTTTGACATGATTAAACAGTCCAGAATTATGATGAGGACGTCTGACATCAGTAAATTGGAATGAAAATTATATTGAAGGATAAAGGGCTGTGATATTGGTTTATATAAATGTTAGATTGTCTCTTACAAGTCATTAGATACCAGAATGCTATCACAGCCTTAAATCTTGAGGTGCTACTTCAATTGTGCATCTTAATTATTTGTTGTCATGGATGCTATAGTTAAATATGCTTCTAAAATCAGCAGCAGACAAATTTGACCCTAAATTAAATAACCATCTAGGAGAAGAATTAGGATCAGCTGTGTGGATTCTCTGAAGAGCACTTCCATGATCTGTATTCTCTGAAGAGGTTATGTCTTCTCTGATAGTCTTCTTTATACACATGTTTCTTCCGTCACATTTGGTATCCCTATCATCGTTGGCTTCTTAAGGAGAAATTTTTTGGCTCCGCTATCAATTAAGCAGAGAAGAGCTGGATTGTCTATAGTGAATTACACATAAGCAAAGAAGAGTTTTGGATTCTGGGAAATTTTGGATTCAGTCACTATCAAGCAATCTAAGAGGAGTTTCTATATCCGATGAGTTTTGGACCAATGACTACAATGTACCTCATGTAACTAAGTCTTCCATGTCTCTTGCTTTTCAATTATACAATGAAGACTACTGAAGATGAGATTTTGCATGCACGATTCTCTAGAGGTTGCGAAGTGAGCATTCATATGTACCTAATGACATCCTATGAGAAATTTTGGACAGTTCTAACATTTGTAGAAACTCATCATATTGCCCACTGGCTACCAACAGGCTATAGAATTTTGTCAAATTTCCGTGGAGCCTTCTCAATATAGATTTGTGACTTTCATGCTTGACCATTTTTATGAGGGTCGGTCCTACATTTTATGATTATGATCATTTTATCTAATTGCTTTTATAAACGGGGTTAAGATGTTTGATTTATTGAGAGATACACCTATATTATTTTGGCAGTTGTAGGGTTAAGATGTTTGATTTATTGAGAGATACACCTATATTATTTTGGCAGTTGTATCAAACCTTTTTAGGATATGCATCTTTACAAAGCTATTAGCTATACACCTATATTATTTTGGCAGTTGTATCAAACCTTTTTAGGATATGCATCTTTACAAAGCTATTAGCTACATTGTATATCCATCACAAATCATTTGCAATATATATCTGAAGCAGTAGATGTATTAAGCTTTACCATGTTTGCCATGTCTGTATTCGAACAATATATCTTGGATAAGCTTTAAATCTTTGCTTACATGTTTTTCATTGGGTTCTACTTGTTTTTTTTTTTTTAAGATGTGTGATGAATTTGACAGGGAATCAGGACAGCTTCAAGTACTGAGTGCCCACCATCAATCAGGAGGGGAACGATCTGTTTCAACTATTCTGTATCTTGTTTCGCTTCAAGATCTCACAAATTGTCCTTTTCGTGTTGTTGACGAGATAAATCAAGGTAAACACTGCCCTTATTTATGTTGCTTTTATAAATTTAAAAAATTACCCTTAATTTTATTCATCGTAAAAATGTAGGAATGGACCCCGTAAATGAGAGGAAAATGTTCCAACAACTTGTCAGAGCAGCAAGTCAAGAAAATACACCACAGTGAGAAATGACCATCTCATGTTTTATATATGATTTCATTAGCACATGATCTTTATGCTGGATACTCTATACTGATTGATACAGGTGTTTCTTGTTGACACCAAAGTTATTACCTGATCTCGAGTACAGCGATGCTTGTAGCATTTTGAACATCATGAATGGCCCCTATATTGAGAAACCCTCCCAAGGTATTGAACATTTTACTGCTGAGTATGGTTTTAGTTTAAGTTCTTTCAGCTAATTCTTGATTATTTTCAATTTTGTTCAAAATTTTTTAGTCTGGAGCTGCGGCGAGAATTGGGGGACAGTGATTGGCTTGGTAGGAGAGGGTTTGAGCTGAACAGCTCCTGTAGATCTTGTATTTAAAAGGAAGAATCGAGCATATTTTTATTCATGAACTCCTTTAATCTTATTGTATCATATTTGCCACCCACTCCATGTTTTGAATTGTAATCAAGCTCGGGCGACGTTAAATTTTAATATCACCCTTCCCTCGTTATTTATATTTCTAACTATAGTTACACATTTGACAATTGACTCACTTTTTGAAGAAATGTAGTACTGCAGCCGCAGTAAAAAACTACTTAGTTTTTTCTGCTGCTGATTTTTGGTAGTATGGATTTCTTATTACTGTTTATTTTTTCTGCTGCTGATTTTTGGTAGTATGGATCTCTTTTTACTGTTTAACCAAGTTATGACTCGCCTTGAAATAAACTATATTGTTTATAATTTAGTTAGAGATATTTGGCACTGAGAAAGCCCGGCTCTTTTGCATGTGTTTTAAGAAGAACAAATTTTCAAAACAGCCCAATTTAGAGTTTTATTTTTCAAAATCGACCGGTTTTTTATTTATTTATCAAAACCGACCCGATTTTATGATTAACCGGCTAATCATCTTCCTAAATAGTCGGGGTTGGCAACCCCGACTATTTAGGACCTTAATTTTTTGTGTTTAAGGCATCTAATCAGGGTTTAATACCTTCCTAAATAGTCGGGGTTGCCAACCCCGACTATTTAGGATGGTGATTAGGTTGTTAATCATAAAATTGGGTCGGTTTTGGTAAATAAAAAAAAACCGGTCGATTTTAAAAAATAAAACTCTAAAGGGGTCTGTTTTGAAAAATTCTTCTTTTAAGAAATATGATGAGTTTAAAGTATCCCTTTTTTATTTTTTTGTGGAGAACCATCTGATCCAAGTTTAAATTTAAATTATGAAAAAAATCTGGAAAGGTGGAATGAAGGATAAGGGAATGTATTTATTTTAAAATTTGATGATAATGAGTTTGAACGCAATCTCTTTAACAACAAAAAAAATAAAAATAAAATAAAAATAAAAAGTAAAAAAATAAAAAGAAAAGGGGAAAATACCTGCATACCCCTTTACAAGCTACGTATTGAAAACTGGAACTCCTGGGTTTATGCCAAGCTAATAATCATTAACATTTTTTTTTCATTCTCTTTTTATTTATCGTGTTACTTTTCCATCTGCTGGCCAGGGAAGCTCCCACTATGTGATGATGGTTTGGTTTGTTGCAAAGAATTTTTTTTGATTGAAGCTCACTCGCATCGTTTATCTATTATACCTATATTCATGGTTAAACAGTTCAAAAATAGCATTGAGTTTCATAACACGCATTATCGTCAATACCTAAATTCATGGTTAAACAGTTCAATTGCATTGAGTTTCATAATGCACGTTATCGTCAATGAAAATGCAACCACGAAATGATGGGGTAAATATATATCAGAATTGTTTTCAACATTAAATAGAAACTTCCCAACTCAAATGTATAATAAGCATTCAATCTGCACTCAATGCAACTCTACCATATTCAGTCGCTGCAACGAGCGCAAATTGAAGCAGATAAGTCACACCAATGCAAGAAACTGCAATAAACCACATCAATCAACTCGCAAAGAAAATAAGTTCATGGTATATATATGAACAGCTTGCATGCTGGCTTTGAATCAACACAGCTCATACATATGAACGCACCCGCTACAAGCACAGATCAAACTCAACGTAAAAATGAATCACATAGGTAGCAAATGGAAATGGAGGCATATATCCATCTTTTATAAGCAATACAGATAAGGATGTTCCCCATACAACAAGAGAGAATTTGAATAGACCTCTTGTTGGAAGATCGATCTTTACTCAGGAGAAGTTCGTGTATTTTTGCAAGGACTATAATTATAAACTGAAACCTAGCACTTTTATTTTATTTTTAGATTGTAGCACAAGTTTTAATCTGTCGACAACAAGTAGCAGACACAAAATAAAAATAAAAACAAATAAAAAGGAAATAGTTGCGTCATATATATACAGGCAGTTCTATATAATCCTTACACAGGTTTAAGGTAAGCAATGCACTCGAATAATAAATTCCGTAATCAAAAGGTCTTTTAACAGTTTTGTTAATAAAACAATAAAATTTGCTCACTAGCAAAAAATATGTGATACCATTTGAAGTCCAGATCTGTAACATTGTGACTGCACCTAATACACAAACACAAGATGGCCTGATAAACTCTCTCTCCGAGTAACCTACCATGAGAGCCCCCAGATCTACGTGCATGTCCAAAACCATTGTTGACAATGAAGATGTTTTCATGGGCATATGCTACATTATTGGTTTGGGATTCGGTTCTCCCTTATTGATAAGGGGAGTTTCAGCGGTTTTCACAGTTTCATATTAACATTGTTGATACATGCTACAAGTCACAAGTTTATACTCAATTGTTTCTTTTTATATTTTTGCCCTAACATAACATTGACAAGTCAACTTTTCGTATTTCAAACTACCTTTTCGTATTTCAAACCTTATTATCTCCTCATCTATTAGTTGTCATTAGCCAATCTAAGGTATATGTTTTTTGTCATCATCGGTAAATACCAGCAGTATCTGCCAGTTAGACCCGGAATGGGTTAGGATATATCTCCTCCTTCCATGCAATGCTGAATATATCACGTTCCATACATAACCACAAACACTGGATATCACATGCTACATCCTATAAACACATGCAAGGGTAAATAAAGATGAATGCTAAATTTCTAAGCTATTGATTAAAAAGTCACTATATAATTTTACTAAAAATATTTATATGCTAGAGTGCAGAAACACCAAGAACAGAATCAAGTGCAGTAGTTGATTTTCTTCATTTTACCAAGTACTCATGACAGCCTTATTTTGACACAAGAACAGGATGAAGTGCAGTACTGAATATCAAAAAGAATAAGGTTTATAGACTTATAGTGCTCAAGGATTAATATAGGAACAGAGGAATCTTCCACCCCAAAATAACTAACCAACATTAGGAATTTATGAGGGTGGCATAGGGAGCTGGAGAGACGAAAAAACTTACTGATCAGAACCTAGGATAAGGCGAAACATAACTGACAAAGGAGTTTAACATAACAACACAAAGTACTGAATGGTTTGAAGATTGTATATTATTAAGAATAAGGATTTGAGAAAATTCAAGTTTAAATTCAGACCTACATGAATCTCAAGTAGCAAAGGGCAGCTCAGATATATGCTATGTAATGAGAAGGTATGGGGTTAAGTTCTGACATAAGATTCAGGGAAGCAGAGAGAAAAGATATGGAGGGATGGATGCAAGGGATGAGGAAGAAAAATGATGAAATACTAAGTGCCTCATACCACAGTTTATCATCATCCACTCTAGGGGGAATAAGGGAATGTCCTTTAATGAATAATAAAAAGGCAAATAATGCAATAGATTAAAAAAATGTATCAAGTTCTATTTCTAAGAAACAAAGTATGATCCTTACAAGTGTATTTCAGAATCTAAAATGTAAGCAAACTATAAAGAGCAGCCTACTTGCAACCATTTGTAGCATGCGCATCTGCATGTGGGTTATTCAAGTGGATCGCGCCTTAAACAAGTTTAAATTTTCTTCGACAAATGTTATTAGGCAAAACCAGCATAATCCTCACATCAGTATCATCTGAAGACATGCATATCTCATAAATGTCAATCACATTGAATATTAGACACTTGGAAAAAAAATCCTAGTCAATCTATATCAATTAAATAATAGAGGTGTCTTACAATAATGTTGCATAGCAACCATATTCAAGTAGAAACAGAATCAGATACAACTCCTACATAAATAGTGAAGAGATTCATGTACAAGTGTGACAGATATAACTCCTCCCAGCACCCCAGATAAGAGGCCTCAATCCTGCTTCATCTGGATAAAATTTTCATGCCAATCCTGAACAATCAGTATCTATGTTCTACCTTCAAGTCTTCAACCAATGGTAACTGATATGCTTATACTGTTAGTCCTTTATCTAGTTTTAAGATGGAGGATGAAGATAATTCACATAGGCAAGACCAAACAATCTACGCAAAGCCAAAAACATTAGAAACAATACGTGATTGACACATTTCAAGAGTGTAATTTATGGTTTACACAATTGAAAAGTATTGTTTTGGTGCCCTAGATGTGTTGATCTGGAAATGTTAAACAAAGGTTAGGGTTTACGACTTAGCTTCAGCTATTTCCTTTAATGAGTTAGAAAGACCATCCACAGTTTGCTTAGAGCAATAAAAATATCAAACAGAATATTGCCAATTCCTACTGGTTAAAGTTTCCTGACATGTTTATATCCAACTTTTACTCATAAATTCATTGCGAAAACTCTTCTAGAAATCTAGAGTTGTAAGCACTAGATAAAAGTGAACCTTTAACAGTAATAGATTTATTGTTCTCCTGCTTAATTTGTACATGGGGCCATCAAAAAAGCCCATGGCCTAGACCCAGCCTAATTTTTTCCGGGCCCAGACCAGGTCTGTAGAAAACCAGAAAAACCAAATCCGGTTGGGTTCCTGGCCCAGGTTCAAGTACCTTCATTGGTGCCTGGCCCTAAACCAGCCCGGGCCAGGCCCGACCAGGGAGGTCGGGTCATGTACCCCGGGCCGGGTCCGGGTCACCCAGGCGGCGGCCCCGCCCCATCTGGCTAAGAAACAACCATAACAGCTACTATTGGGTCATATGATCAAAATACCCTAAAAACGATCAAATTTTGTGGATATCTTGGTCATTTGACTATGGGGCTTCCTCTAAATAGAGAGGAGTTTTCATTTGGTTTCTCATCCAAAAATCACTCTGTTCTCTCTTAATATTCTCTAATACGCTTTTATACTCTCTAATATTCTCTCTTACTCTCTGGTAATCCTCTAATTCTCTCAATTCCAATAGCTTCCTCCAATTTCGAAGTCTTCGAGGATAAAAATGCAACTCCTGATATGAGTCTTACCATCGACCCGAAACCTGCATCTAAAGATCCAAGACCAACATCTTCTAAAAGGCCAAGATGAAAAGAGTGGGCTTTCTCCAGAAGGCCGAGATCAAAAGAGTGGGCTTTCTCCAAGAATATTGAAATTGTCACATATAGTCACGGTCGTGTTCTCAACCAAAAAGCAATATGTGCTCTATGCAGCAAAAGTCTTCAAAGATCATAAGATAGGGACTAACCACCTCAAACAACATTTAGCAAGCCACAATAGAGAGTAAGAAATGTCTCAACCCGATATCCGTCGATCTCCTCTCTGAATCAT